GCTTTTCTTCCTTGCCATTCGTGTTATGGATTGCACGAATGAGTGCTGTAGATTTTTTTTTTCGTGCCTTGCCATTCATGTTAAGGATTGCATGAATGACTGCACGGCTTTTTATTCTTTCTGTTGTTGATGCACTAACCTTAGTTTCCTTTTGGCAATGATTGGTTCATTAGCTTCAAAGGGTTTAGGTGGTATGACCTGCTGGGAAAAAGATGAAATTTGTCACTAGCAAATACCTAAGGTAAACTGTGATGACTTCTTTCTATAGGATGCAAATTTGGGAGGTTGTGTTCATGGATACAAATTTTTATTTTTAACTACCGATCCAGGCAAAACTAATATGGTTTGCCACCCTCTATGGACAGGTATTAAGTTGTGGTGCAGTCAGATTTGTAGCTAATCAGGGGATGAGCGACATTTTTCTGAATCAGATTCATTCATTGCAATATAAGCTTTAAAGGGCAATATAAGCAATTTCGTGCTAGCTGATGATTAGTGGATGGTAGCAATGTAGTTTAATTTCAGAAAGAAAATGAGTGATGCATAGGGAAGGAAACCTTTTGTTCAAAACAAACTTATATCATTAGATTTCTCAAGACCGTGATGTTTTGTGTTTTGCTATTCATTGAGCATTTTAGCTTAAGGCCTAATTTTAATAACCCAATTATGACCGACTTTGCAATTTTGCATTATTAGTTTTATTGTTGCAACTATATTGGGTAAGTAATCGCCATTATGTTACACTTCTGCTTGGATTGGTTCTCATGACCAGTGGCAAAGCAGCAGCGAAGATGCGGCAACGAGACCAACAGGGGCGAGATTGGTGGTGGGCATCGTATATTATTGGACATGCACTTTATATACCGTATATATATATGGTTGTACACAACAGGTTCTTTATGAGTAGAGATAATGCAATTAATTGTCAGTGTATATATGGCTATATCAATTTGCTGAACTTCGTTGGAGAAGCTATATATTTGCTGTGCTGTTTGAAACATTGCTGATCACCCAAAAGGTTGTCTTACAAGCATAAACTGGGATGTATAGTATATGCTTTGAAACTATTTTGGTCATTTTGTTTATACTGCAATATAATGTTATTTGTATTAGCGATACAGTGTTATGAATTTATGATTGTTATCAATGATAATCTTTAAAACATAACAGTGCTTCATGTTCTACTCTGCTTGTGATTTTGAACAACTGTGCTGATTTTGTGGTTATGTGATAATGAGGGCAATATTTAGTGTCATCCATAGTGTGAAGCATGTTATTCATATATGTGGTAAGCAATTGACTATCTTCATTCAGCTCTACAGAATCAACTCAAGGGTGCATTATATGCAGTGGTAGCAGTCCAATCTTTTTAAATGGTGTTAAAGAAAAACGCAATCAGCCACTATGCCCTGCTCTATATATTGAACATGCTACTATGCTATGCCATCTAATCGGCCGCTATATTTTTGTGGCATATTTTGTTGCGCCGTATGGTTTTGTCTAATCTTGACAAGTGTACTGGCTGCATATGGCATCTTGTTGGAGAAAATCCCTTGTATGCCCATGAAAACTCATCCAACCCTCGAATTTTACTCAATCTCCTCTGTACCCCTCAAATTTCGCTTTGATCCCTTCCATGCCCCTCCTATTAGGTTTCCGTTAGAAATGGTAATCAAACCGTGTGTTGTATTGTCAGTATTTTTAAAAAATACCAAAATGCCCCTCCAACCCTAAGTCTTATCCTCTTTTTGGTCAACCTGCCTCTTATCCACTCGACTCGAGCGGCCTCCCGCGCCGCCGGCTTGCAGTAGCTAGCGCCGCCGTTCCGCCCCCCTCCGGCCGCATGCACCACCCTCCCGCCTCACGCGTCGTCGTCCAGCCGTCTTCTTCCTGCCACGCGGGCGTCGCCCTCCAGCCGCGCGCGTCGTCGTCCAGCTGTCCCGCCGCCCTCTCGCTACGCGCATTGTCGTCCAGCCGTCTTCTTCCTGCCGCGCGGGCGTCGCCCTCCCACCGCGCGCGCCGCCCTCCCCGCCGCGCACGTCGTCGTCCAGCTGTCTTTTTCCCGCCGCACGGGCCGCCGGCCACCGCCCTCCCTGGAGCAGGAGGAGAAACCCCAAAGGAAGTTGGGGATCTCATCAGTTGGGGATCATCTAGCCGGTAAGTTAATCATCTTCTTTTCCTGTTGGTTTGTTGCACTTCTTATTGGGGGTGGATCTACCATACCTAATCGACGCGTGAGTATCCCAATGATCTGCCTCTCCTGGAGCTTCCTTGCAAGCGCTTGGAGACCAACAACACTGCCTAGGCCTAGGGCACTTTATTACTAGGAGTTCAGCGACATTGTCCAACCTCTATTTGGAATTTCCCATGCATTCCCCGCGCTGTTTGTTGCAAGCTTGTGCTGTTTCTAGCATCGACAAATTTTGGTCACTCGCATTGCCTTGGCAAGAGCAGCGCTACAGCCAGTAGCTGAAGCTAACAACAGCCGAGACGACAAGCGCAGCGTTTTTTCCCCTAATGTGTTAAACTATCGAATGATTTAGTGCTTTAGCGAGCCCTGTTTTTTAATTATCATGGCTGCTCCAATAGTTACACCAATAATGGCATACTCTCCTAGGTTAGGCAAATTTCTTTATTTCATTCTACATGGATTTAGATCAGTTAGGTATATAACAATTTATTTTCCAGAGTCAAAACTTTCATTTCACTGAGGACAATAGTACATGGAACAATAGCTCATGTTCAAGTATATCAATTAGGTAAGTAATTAGATCAAGAGACATAGATCAATTATGTCAATTTGCTGGCATTATGTTGTTCTATGCAATTTATTCTCAACTCTCTTTTCTAGATCAAGATCACTTACTGGCTCTAATCAACCTGAGCCATCTAACATGTTGTAGCCTTGCCATGTATTGGAGATAAAACACCTACCGTTGCACCAAAAAAGGTGAAGAGCAAAACAAAGGGAAAGCCATCACGTTCTGGTACTCCTGATAGCCCAGCTATGTGCACAAGGAGCAAAAATAAGAGTCCTGCAATGGGCACTAGGAGCAAAAGAAAGCTTATGGACTAAATCATATATATGGCTTGCTGATTAGGTTTTATTTTGGTACTGCCATTTCTCTTGTGGAGGCTGCTGGGTTTTGTTGTTGTGATGCCCTGCAAAGTGCTCTAGTCATAGTTGATATCTCATTTCGCTATTGTAAGGATTGCTTTCTCATGAAATGTCCCTGTTATGGACATACTATTATGGACCTTATGCCATTGTGCTCCTGATGTATGGAATGAATAGTTGATTTGGTTCCTGCACTACTGGGTATGGAAATGGAATTGTGTGTGCATGATATGAACTGTTATGTATGGAAAGGATTTTTTGTATGTCTCTATAGTTATGTATGAAGCTATTGATGCTCTTATTGTACTAGAATCATTTTCTTGTACAGAGGATCCAATTTCTTCTATAGAGGAAACTCATGCATGTTGCTTTTCCTCATCCTATTATTTTTCCTAAACAAAAAGATATATTACATTTTTCAGTACCACAATAAATTTGTTATACACTCATTTAGCCTCAAAATACACATTGTTCAGTCACCGTTTGTTTTATTTTTTTCAATCTAGCTGTCGCTCATACGGAAGATACACATTGCTCACCCTATTGCAGAAGGGTATTTTGGACATTTGGAACCACACTTAACTGCCAAATGAAGGAAACCTAACGGGAGGGGCATGGAAGGGATCAAAGCGAAATTTGAGGGGTACAGAGAAGATCGAGTAAAATTCGAGGGCGCATGTAAGGGATTGGATGAGTTTTCATGGGCACACAAGGGATTTTCTCATCTTGTTGTGTTACATGTGTACTACAGCTAGCCAATATGGCTGGCAATTTTTGCTCTATATAATGCATGTAAATACTCCCTCCATTTCAAAATGTTTGACATCGTTGACTTTTTAGCACATGTTTGACCGTTCGTCTTATTCAAAAAAATTTATGAAATATGTAAAACTATATGTGTATATGAAAGTATATTTAACAATAAATCAAATGATATGAAAAGAATAAATAATTACTTAAATTTTTTTAATAAAACGAATGATCAAACATGTACTAAAAAGTCAATGGTGTCAAATATTTTGAAACGGAGGGAGTACCAATTACCGTTTAAAAGCGAAATGGCATGTTGACTAGTGGTTACAAGAGTCTCAGTAGCACCTGAGATCTTGGGTTCGACTCCTCATGGGAGCGAATTTTCCAGGATTTATCGGCGTCGTGCTTTCAGTGGTAGGCGACGTATCCATCGACAGCGAGGCGTCTGTGGTAGGCAACGTACCCGTCGACAGCGAGGCGCCTATACTGTGATGCTCATAGGCGCTAGCTTTCAGTGGTATCTTTTAGTGGTAGGCGACGTACCCGTCGACAGCGAGGCGCCTGTACTGGGTAGAGGTTTGTGCGCGTGCGTTGTGAGTGCCTGTACTGTGTAATTCTCAAAAAAAAATTGCCGTTTAAAAAAAATAAAAAAAGGGGAAAATTGGAACCATGCCATTATAATTTTGCAAAATTTGAGATATACCATCCTGACCCACATGTCATTGACTCATGTGGGTCCTACATGTTATTGAGATACCGATGACATATCTTAAACTTTACAAAATTATAATGGCATGGTTCCAATTTACCTTTAAAAATATTGTTTAACTTTCATGAAAAACTTTTCTCTTTATTTAGTTATTAGTTCCCTGATAGTATTCCATCTAGGCATGACATCTACAGACTACGTGCAGGGCAGGGGATGAAGGGAACTAGGGAAGAGTTAGCTTCGTCGGACTCAGACGACCGGGCGGCGTCGCTGGCGCGTGGCCTGCCTGCTGCCGGCGCCGGGGCGGCGCGTGCGTGGAGGACCTGTGACCGGGGACGGCGGGCTACGTCAGCGACACAACGCGAATCATAGCTGGAGGCCCAATAAGCTCCAAGCCAGGCCCAATAATACAGTGTGCGTTGGATAGAGCGGAGGGGAGTAGAGGCAGAGCCGCAGAGGCGCAGCAGGAAGAAGACTAGAAGAGGGAGGGCGACTCAGACGACGACGACGAAGGAGTCGGAATCGGAGAAGGAAGATGCCTTGCCTCAACGTGTCGACCAACGTGAACCTGGATGGGGTGGACACCTCCGCCGTCCTCGCCGACGCCTCCAAGACCGTCGCCACCATCATCGGCAAGCCCGAGGCCGTACGCTCCTCCCCTTTTCCTCTTCTTCTCTACCCATACCCACCCTAGGTTTTGGCGTGCTTCGTTCTTCATGCTCCATTCCTAGCTTGCAGCTATCTTTTGGTGGATTGGCACCTTATAGTGGATTTATCACTCTTCCGTCTACTCGAGGAGGATTAGAGTTTAAGTGCCCCCATCGATCTTTGGCGTGTAACTGTTGAAATTGGGAATTCGATTCTAGTTTAGGTAGGAACTAAGAACATCTCCAAGTGCATAAATGCTCACCTCTCAACTAGTGTCAAATATGGTGATTTTCACATGGGAATACAGCCATAGGTCCACCGACGAAACTGGGAGAGGGCAGACCAAAGTTCTTATTCTTCTTGGAATTTAGGACTTCCTTTACAAATTTGCTAGTTATTTTGAGTAGCGAGCGCCCCCCCCCCCCTCCCCCCCCAAAAAAAAAAATCAAATACTCAATTTTTTGAGTTTTTCCATTTGATTCAGCAAATAGAAAATTATCTTTTATGCATAATCTCAATGTATACATCAGAAACTAAAATGCTTGTAAGCTGTGACATCTTCAACCACTTACTCCAGATTTTACTTTTTCAAAGAACATGTTGATTCGATGTTTGATGTATCAGAAATAGCTAGATTTTTTGCTAGTGGGCTGGAAAAATGGCAAATATTTGTTGTTACTTCAATGTCAGACTTGTCTTATGTAAAATTGAAAATTAACTTCAGTTTATGTTTTGGTCTTCTGTTGACAGCACAAAATGAAGCTATTTTGCATCACCTTTGTTGTTGACATACTAATCAGAGTGCTTAATGCTTTTTCTTTCCACAGTATGTGATGGTTGTTCTCAAGGGTTCAGTGCCTATGGCATTTGGAGGTACCCAGGAGCCTGCCGCTTATGGCGAGCTGGTTTCCATTGGAGGGCTGAACCCTGACGTCAACAAGAAGCTGAGTGCTGGCATTGCCTCTATCCTGGAGTCAAAGCTGTCCATTCCCAAGGGCCGCTTCTATCTCAAGTTCTACGATTCCAAAGTAAGCAGACCCCATTTCTTATTGATTGTTCATCCATGGGTCTTCATAAAAACCATACAGTCATGTTCTCATTGCATCTTTGCTGTTTGTTAGGCCCATCGTGCACAAGAACATGCTCAATGTTTGCATGCTTTGCATCAAGAATAGATCAATGTAAATGGGCCATCTGTTGTTTGTTTAATGCCAACATTTTGGCTTTTGCAGTTTAGTTCCTCTCTGTAGTTGACAATATCCTAGGCACAACACATATACTTTTCCATCCTAATTATGAGCACTAATAAATCTTTCTTTACGTAGCGCTCGGACTTTGGATGGAATGGCACCACCTTTTAGGTTAAATGGTATGGCTTCAAGAATCTTGGAACCTACTCCCTCCATCCCAAAATGTTTGACGCCGTTGACTTTTTTAAAAATGTTTGACCATTCGTCTTATTCAAAAAAAATTAAGTAATTATTAATTCTTTTCCTATCATTTGATTTATTGTTAAATATACTTTTATGTATACATATAGTTTTACACATTTCATAAAATTTTTTGAATAAGACGAATGGTCAAACATGTTTAAAAAAGTCAACTGTGTCAAACATTTAGGGAAGGAGGGAGTAATAATTCCTAATGCCTTGTTCATTGCCTATTTGAGGACAATGCAGTCAGCTGTATCAGTGTAATGTGTACTAGTCTCGAGTGAACCTGGAAATATGCTTCTGAATGCAACTTGGCATGCTTGAGTTGAGAGCTCTCTGTGTGTTTGTCTATTAAGGTTGTCCCTATATATTATGTTTGTGGTGGGTGCGACGACAAGCCTAAGATCAGTGTTTTAGCTGACAGAATTAACCAAGAAAGCCTTGCTGCAATGCGAGGTCATTGCTCCCTTGATCACAGGAGGTTAAGCGTTAGACATCTTCATTGGAGAAATGTGGTTTATCTTTCGCGGCTGCTTTTTGGTGCTAGCCTGCTAGGCTAGTAGAAACCACAAGTTAAAGGTTTGCAATTTGTGGTTATTGGTGGTAAAGTGGTTTGGTACTTGCATATCAAGGGTCTCTGTCAGTTTGGTTTGGTTCTTAAGCATGAAACTTTGCTGGTGTCTAGTTTTTGGTGTTGTGTTTGGCCCAAGTAGGGTGGCTTCGCTGCCTAATTATGACCTCTTCTTTGTTGTGCCTCAACAGGTAGAGTAGCCAATCTCTGCTCCATATTTTCTCTTGATGCATTGCCATTTCACCTAGGCAAATGCAAAATTCACACACCCTGATTGTTTGGTCCACACATACTTTGGGAGGTGTGCGTGCCTGGAAATACAAGGTGTGCGAGCAAGTTTAATAGGATACGGGCTCCAATTCATTAATAGCCAATTTATTAGCTCATTTATACAATAGTTATCTATAAGTATATACTACACCATTAATATATGATCTCATCTCTCATACATACACAACGTATTGGAGTCCGTGCTACAGCTGTCTACAAATCTGTAGCCACTTTCCTTCTCTCTCTTCTCTTCTCTCCTCCGTATGTGCATACAGTTGTTGACTTGTAGTCTGCTATTGTACTCGCTTTTATATGTATGGACAATAAACAATCAACACAAGAATCAGAATGATCCAACTTTGTTGTGTGTATTCAGCTGATAAGTTTATGCCTTGTTTAGTTGGCAAATTTTTTTTCCTTGCGTGTCACATCAGATAAACAGACACACATTTGAAGTATTAAACGTAGACTAATAACAAAACAAATTACATATTCCTCTAGGAAACTGGGAGACGAATTTATTAAGCCTAATTAATTCATCATTAGCAAATATTTATTGTAGCACTATATTGTTAAATCATGACGCAATTAGGCTTAAAAGATTCGTCTCGCAATTTACACGCAATATGTGCAATTGGTTTTTTTCGTCTACATTTAATACTCCATACATGTGTTCAAACATTCGATGTGACAGGTGAAAAATTTTGTTTTTGGAACTAAACAACACCTTAGAGCAGGTACAATAGCAGGCTATAAACCAGCTGCAAACATATTTTAAGGAGATAAATGAGGAGAGAGAAGGGCAGCGGGCTACAGATTTGTAGCCAGCTGTAGCACGGACTCTAAGACGCAGTGTGCGTATGATAGGGGACCAAGTATTAATAGTGTAGTATGTAACTATTGTATGGATGGGCTATTAGATTGGCTATAGATGAATTGGAGCTAGTAGTTAGCTATACTATTAAACTTGCTCTTAGGCGTGCAAAATGGTACATTAAAAAAATATATTAAAAGCGTAGCAAAAGGGCAAAATGGTAAAGTGATGCTGACCGTTGACTTGTCAGGTTGGCCGTTCGTGGGCTCGTGGCGTCTCTCCTAACCTTCGATTTCGATTTATTAGTTGAGAAATCACCACCCACACCCTCCCCACACCCACCCCCGCCATTTCTTGAGATTTCCTTCCTCTCTCTCTCGCGCGCGCACCCCGCAGATCCAGCATCGCCATGGCCGCCGCCTCCCCTCCACTCCTCCCCACCACCGTCCTCCCCGCCAACACCACCGCCACCGTCTCCCCTGCCCCCACCTCCGTCTCCTCCGCCGATGCCAAGCCTGCCGCCACGCGCGCCTTCCTCGCCCGCCTCCTCGACTCCGTCAAGCGCGCGCTCTCCGGGGCCCGCCCCTGGCCGGAGCTCATCGACCGCAGCGCCCTCTCCCACTCGGAATCCCTCTCCGACTCCGGCGCCCGCCTCCGCAAGAACCTCGCCTACTTCCGTGTCAACTACGCCGCCATCGTCGCCCTCTCCCTCGCCGCGTCCCTCCTCGCCCACCCCTTCTCCCTTGCCGCGCTCCTCGCCCTCCTCGCCGCCTGGTGCTTCCTCTACCTCCTCCGCCCCTCCGACGCGCCCCCGCTCGCCGCCTTCGGACGCACCTTCTCCGACAGGGAGACCCTCGGGGGACTCATCGTCGCATCCGCCTTCGTCATCTTCCTCACCTCCGTCGGATCCCTCATCTTCTCCGCGCTCGCCCTCGGCGCCGCCATCGTCTGCGCGCACGGCGCATTCCGCATCCCGGAGGACCTCTTCCTCGACGAGCCAGACCAGGCCAACGGCGCCGCCTCCGTCAACCTGCTCTCCTTCATCACCAGCGCCACCGGAGGCCGCGTCTGATGACAATCTTCCTCCTTGCGCATTCCAAGCAAAGGTCATGATTCTTTTTATATTATACCTATGAAACAAACACTATCATTTATTCATATGGTGATCGATGTAGAACAAAAAAAAATTAGGGGAGAATGATACTGCTATACGATACATATAAGAATTTGTCGATGATCTAGTTTTGTTTCCTTTTGCATTTTTTGATATATGAGAAACTTGAGAGCAAGAAGAGTATTTATTGATGCTGATATTAGTCATCAATCAATCCTGCCACAATGTTATTGGTTCTCTTATAAAATTCACAAATTTGTTTTGGTCTGATGGATGATTCATAAGCCATCTCATTATGTAAAGATGATATACATTAATCAAATGTTGTTGGATATGATATTTTGCATCTTCATTTGAACATTATACAAGGATGAGATTTCGTTTGCCTGCTTGTCGGTGGATATTATGCCAACCTAAACGGCTAAGAGCTCCTGCTGGCGGTAAACGTTAATCTCATGGATACTGCACAGAAAACTTTAAATTAGGATTAGGAATTTGGCGTGTTCAGTTGGGTGGGATCAGGAATCATTGTTGACGAAGGGGATAGATAGCTCAGGGAACTCATGAGGCCTTGCATACAGCAGCCACACAGACACAGACTTACATCTTTAGCCAGGTCTGTTGGCAAACCCATTTCAAAAGAAGATTGGGGAATGGATTCTAATCCCTTAATAGTTATAAAAACAGTTATATCTTTTTTTAAACAAAAGACATCTAGCACTTCACCAAAAATCAAATTCAACTTCAACCTATACATTAAGGGGGAAAAAGACAAATTCTGATATATCTCAATGTGTAAGTTGAGTTTGGACCTAAGATTTCGTAGGTTGGTATATAAATATATCATATGATTGTTGTAAAAAATTTTGAGAATTTTTCATAACTAAATATTTGGATAGGTTTTTGACAAACAAGGGATATCCCTTTGAGGGATCAAAAGAGTTTCCCAATGGGATTTTGTCTATTCACCGGTCGCCTGAAATCTTGTAATCCGTTCATCACTTTTTGGATGGTTCAGATCGCGTCAATGTCTGTGCACAATAACACGTAACTCTATCAGTTATCCCTCGTTGCGATCAAGGTTGTTGCCACGCTATCGCCCTTGAACCCGTGCATCGCCTCGCTTCATGCCACGCTTAGCGTTGCCTTGCCTGTGAGACTAGGGGTGGCAATTTCACCGTTGTGACCGGGGACTCGATGGTGACCTGCCCCTATGGGGTCGGGGGTAGGGGGAAATTCTCACCCGCAGGTGAGCGAGGGCGAGGGCGGGGATGGGAGTTGACTCGCGGGGCCCTGAAGGTATGAGTTACAAGTCAAAAGATAGCACATTCTAAAGCCCATTTGGCATATTAGGTGAAGGATTATAAGCAAAACCCTAATTTTTCCCAATTCCCTATCCAATCGCCACTCTCTCCTCTCTGACTCTCATGTCTCTCCCTCCTAGCGTGTCACCTCCAGCCAACTTGCCTCTTCGTGCGCCATCCCCAGCTATCACTGCCTTAAGCCAGTGCTGCCTCTTCGCTGCTGTTCCCAGCCAGCGTCGCCTGCTCACGATCCACCACCCCGACAGCCGTAGACACCTTGTCACCACCCCCAACCGTCACCTTGTCGTAGTGCACCGCCTCTAGTCGCCACAGTAGGTTTCTCGCAGTTGCTAATCATCTGGGTGGTGCGGGGCCTCGCCCACCCGTTGGGTCCCCTGCGAGGGGCGAGAACGGGTGAGGTTTTTCGCCCAGTGGCAAATGCGGGGCCAGGATGAGGGGAAAATGTGGCGAGCGGGGGCGTTCCTGTCCATCTCAGCCCCGTCCCGCCTTGCAGCCACCCCTATGCGAGACAAGATATACTCCCCGCCACTACTACAATTCTCTCCTGTGCTGCTGCCCTAACTTATATTCATCAAATTAGGTGAATTTCTCACGCCTTACATCCCCATTTGTCTCGTGTAACTAGATTCGCTATTGCTATCCACATCCTAGATGGTCATATGTAAAACATACTGTAGTAGCTAATATTATAAGGCTCAATTCATTCTCTTGGGTGTTCTTGACAGTAAATTTTGTTTTTAGAGGTGTCACCCTAAATTACTACAGTACTACTACATGGCAAATCTTCCAGGTGGGTTTATGTCCTGAACATGTGTGAAGGTAATTTGGTGGGGGCAGAAGCACCTGGAGTGTTTATGTGTGCAAGTCCAAGAAGCTGGACAAGATGGGAGCTTGTCGGCCCAAGGAAACGCAAAGTAAGGTCGGGTCCACAGTCAGTCCATCCTACCCGTTGCTTCGGCTTCTCTCTCAGCCCAAACATAACACAACAAAAAATCCTGTCCTTAAAGAATGGGAAAAAACAAAAAACAAAACAGAGGAGGGGGAAGTAGCCGTTGGTTGATAGTGGGGGCCATTACGGGCGTAGCAGGCAGCATTCCTCGCGCTCAGTCGTGTCCCGTGCGCCCTCGCCGCCTCCTACTAGCCGTTGCTCGCCTCTGCTAATCTCCTCCTCCTCTCTCTGTCTCGCCACATACTACGCTTCAGTCTTCTTCTTCCTCCACCTCTACTCGACTCGACTCGACTCGCTAGTCGCTACCACCAACATTTTCCTTCCGCTCTACTCAATCCTATCCATCACATAATGCAAGGACCACGCCGCCGACGAGCACCACCAGCCATGCTCAGACCATTCCCCGCCACCGCCCACCATCGCTGCACACTTCTCCTCCTCCTTACTGTAACACTCCTCCCCTCGCTCGCTGCCGCCGCCGCCGCCCACCACCACCACCTCCACGACCACGCCGCAGGCGACGGCGTCGTCATCAGCCAGGCGGATTACCAGGGCCTACAGGCCATCAAGCACGACCTCACCGACCCCTACGCCTTCCTCCGCTCCTGGAACGACACCGGCCTCGGCGCCTGCTCCGGCGCATGGGTCGGCATCAAGTGCGTCCAGGGCAAGGTCGTCGCCATCACCCTCCCATGGCGCGGCCTCGCCGGCACTCTCTCCGAGCGCATCGGCCAGCTCACCCAGCTCCGCCGCCTCAGCCTCCACGACAACGCCATCTCCGGCCCCATCCCCACCTCCCTCGGCTTCCTCCCCGACCTCCGCGGCGTCTACCTCTTCAACAACCGCTTCTCCGGCGCCGTTCCCGCTTCCATTGGCAACTGCGTCGCGCTCCAGGCGTTTGATGCCAGCAACAACCTCCTCACCGGCGCCATTCCTCCTTCCCTCGCCAACTCCACCAAGCTCATGCGCCTCAACCTCAGCCACAACACCATCTCCGGCGACATCCCATCCGAGCTCGCCGCCTCGCCCTCGCTCGTCTTCCTCTCCCTCTCGCACAACAAGCTGTCCGGCCACATCCCAGACACCTTCGCTGGCTCCAGGGCGCCCTCCTCCTCCTCGCTCAAGGAATCCATCACCGGGACCTACAACCTCGCCGTCCTCGAGCTCTCGCACAATTCGCTCGATGGCCAGATACCGCAGTCACTCGCCGGCCTCCAGAAGCTGCAGGTGATGGACCTCTCCGGCAACAGGCTCAACGGCACCATCCCCGACAGGCTCGGCTCGCTCGCCGACCTCAAGACGCTCGACCTCTCCGGCAACGCCCTCACCGGCGAGATCCCGGCCAGCCTGTCCAACCTCACCACCACTCTCCAAGCATTCAATGTCTCCAACAACAACCTCTCCGGCCAAGTGCCAGCCTCGCTCGCGCAGAAATTCGGGCCTTCCGCCTTCGCCGGAAACATCCAGCTCTGCGGCTACTCTGTATCCGTGCCCTGCCCGGCGTCGCCGTCTCCGGCGCCATCTGCGCCAGCATCACCAGTGCAAGGGGTGGAGACCACAGGACGCCACCGGAAGTTCACGACCAAGGAGCTCGCGCTGATCATCGCCGGAATCGTGGTCGGCATCCTGCTCTTGCTGGCGCTCTGCTGCCTGCTGCTCTGTTTCTTGACGAAGAAGAGGTCCGGAAGCGGCGGGAAGCAGACGACGAGCAGCAAGGCAGCCGGTGGCGGCGCCGGAGGCGCGGCGGGGGGCGGGCGAGGCGAGAAGCCGGGGTCGGGGGCGGCGGAGGTGGAGTCGGGGGGAGAGGTGGGAGGGAAGCTGGTGCACTTCGACGGGCCGATGGCGTTCACGGCGGACGACCTGCTGTGCGCGACGGCGGAGATAATGGGGAAGAGCACGTACGGGACGGTGTACAAGGCGACGCTGGAGGACGGCAGCCTCGTGGCGGTGAAGCGGCTGAGGGAGAAGATCACCAAGGGACACAAGGACTTCGAGTCAGAGGCGGCGGTGCTCGGCAAGATCCGCCACCCCAACCTGCTGCCTCTCAGGGCCTACTACCTCGGACCCAAGGGCGAGAAGCTCCTCGTCCTCGACTTCATGCCCAATGGCAGCCTCTCCCAGTTCCTCCACGGTCAGTACTCACTCACTCACTACTCTTCTTCTTGTGCATTTGATCTTGATACTATTAATTAGGAAGACAATGCAATTGATAAACTGTATGCATTCTAAAGCTTTTACTTCTGCTTTCAACTGAAACTACTCTGAACATTTGAGAAAACGTTGTAGTCTGAACATTTGCAAATTCTGGAAGTGCTAACACTGATTCAGCTGAAATCAAGTAGATTTGATACATCTGAAAATTTTGTACAGTGCTGAGTACCTTTTTTATTTAGCATAACAATGAGCATCCCATGCCAATTTAGAGATTGAGCATTACACGCCTTCTGAAAATTTTGGACAGCGCTACATGTCTTCATGGTCAATGCAAAAAGTTCAGTAAAAGAGTGTCTTGTTCAGTTAAACAAGTTAACATATTCCCTATGTAGTTTTGAGGCTAATATGTGGACTATTGGTGAACTAAATGACAGGCTTTTGTTTTAGTAGCACTGTTTTATCAACATTATTCAGCTTTCTGGCTCTGAAATTTCATCCTGATGAACTGAAAATCTGCATAACTCTGACACGGTGACACTAACATTTCGTCCTGATGGCATAACGTGAATGTGCAGCTCGCGCGCCCAACACTCCGATCAGCTGGGAGACGCGGATGACGATCGCCAAGGGCACAGCCCGTGGCCTTGCTTTCCTCCACGACGACATGACCATCGTCCACGGCAACCTCACCGCCAGCAATGTCCTCCTCGACGACCACTCCAACCCCAAGATCGCCGACTTCGGCCTCTCCCGCCTCATGACAACTGCTGCCAACTCCAACGTCCTCGCCGCCGCCGGCGCCCTCGGCTACCGCGCCCCCGAGCTGTCCAAGCTCAAGAAGGCCAGTGCCAAGACCGACGTGTACAGCCTCGGCGTCATCATCCTCGAGCTCCTCACCGGCAAATCCCCCGCCGAGACCACCAACGGCATGGACCTGCCGCAGTGGGTGGCGTCCATTGTCAAGGAGGAGTGGACCAGCGAGGTGTTCGACCTCGAGCTGATGCGCGACGGCGACAATGGGCCCGCGGGCGACGAGCTCGTGGACACGCTGAAGCTGGCGCTGCACTGCGTGGACCAGTCGCCGTCGGTGAGACCTGATGCCCGGGAGGTGCTCCGGCAGCTCGAGCAGATCAGGCCGGGGCCGGAGGGCGGCGCCGGGCCGAGCGACGAAGGTGGCGCAGGGCATGTGGCTGCTGCTTCTGCAGGCAATGAGTAGTATGCAGCAGCTGTGCTCTTGAGCAGAATTTGAAGACGAAATCGAAGGAAATGAACTTGTCAATCAGCTAGAGACTAGAAACAGAGCAGCTAGAGAGTAGAAACAGAGATACTCCTATATTTCATTTATGAATTCTTTGATTTATTTGAAAGCTTAGTAGTAGTAGTATTAGTAAGTGGTAGACATTATTCGTCTATGTTGTTTTTGAAGCTTCTTGTATAGGCAAATATTATTATTTGCAACAGAACTGAATCGCTCTATCAGAATATCAATTACAAATACCACAATGCCTTCCTTACTGATCTACTGTAGTACTCTGTGTGTGTTGTAGATCCATGTCGATGATGGGAAACAAGTGATAATCATAGCTTGTTTCTGAATATGCCATGTATATTCTGGACAATGCATAGCCGCGTGCTGGCATGAGCTTTTCAGATTAGCAGAAAGTGCCGACCAATGCTTAACTGAAGTGCATGGATTGTAAAAGTGTAAAATTAACACGCTTTTTTAACTAATCATACAGATCGTGTAAACTGTTTCAGGAACTTCCAAACATTGGACAATTATATAAATCGTGGAAAACTAACTGTTTGACCGGACATGGATAAATCGCTGTTGAGAACCAACTACTACTGAAGAATTGACAACATTTCACGCCAAGCAGACACAGCACTAGACATGCCATCATCATCACCGCCCATCTCCATCGCCTACTTATTAATGCATATTCATTTCATCCCCATCAAATGACTGAGGAACATGCATATTCATTTTATCCCCATCAAAAACTGCATTGTACGGCGAAGTGGCGGACAAGTTTAAGTGGAAGGTTGAATGGGGCATGATTTTAATGCGATGCCCCATGATATACATTTTGTGAAGACTGGGTTGCCGATTGAAAAGAACAAAATCCCCATCATCAAGGTGCCTTTCCACCTGACAAAATAAAACACCAGATGAGGAGACAAATATAGAAGACACTATTGTCATGTGACCATCAGTAAATCAGATTCTGAAACAATGTTGGTACTCGCATTGTAACACAGTTCCAGATATTGATCAGTTCTTTTCTTCACATAACAAAGATCAAGCCTTTGAGCGTCTCCCCAGATAATGTACTTTGGACCTGTCTTCCCAGGGGAAGGATAAGTGATCATTAAAAAACAGTGATCATGCCTCAATAACAGTAAAGCATTTTACCTTCAAAGTTATATGGAGTAACAGTTTCTGGGTATGTAAGGTCAAAGCAATACTCCATGGCACTACCAATTCATTGTAATATTTGAATCCGGTGTGATGACAGTACGAGCTGAGAAATCAACACGCTTCCCCATCAAATTTCCTCTAATGCTGCCTTTCTTTGCTTTTAGATACCCCTGGACTTTTGCTAATCTGTGGCGAACAGCAGTTTGTAACACCTGCAGAAGAAAGATTTCACTTATTGAATGAATGTGAACATTTTATGCAAATGTATAAGATATAAATCATGCTTATAGTACTTTGAGTGATAAAATAATTCACAACAAAACAAATTATAATTACGTAAATTTTTTGAATAAAACGAATGTTCAAACGTGTGACAAAACATCAACAGTGTCATCTATTAAAAAAACGGAGGTAGTATTTTTTTTCCCGCACCACCATTCAATTTTGCACAGTGTTTTGCCTAGTATATTGTTATTTGTTGACACCAGCATGAATAGGTACCTGAAACAACCATTTATATTACTAACATTCCAACACTTGACCACTTCTTTTTTCTTTAAGGTTACTGAGCAAAATTACCAGATTCAGTAATACACTCCTGGATAAGGCATTTTTAAACCAAATCATTTGCATACTAACTTGCAAGTTACAGATAGATGGCTAGCAAACATACACAAGTAAATAAAAAAAAAGAATTTGCATAAGCTATATATATAAAGAAGCTAACAAAGAAAAAAAAAGAACCTTGTGGCTAGTCTAACATGGGGGCCGGCAGATTTGACCAATGCACACTGACCAAAATGGTGGCGCAATCAAATATCATAGGTAGGATGACTTGGCTATGTGCTTTTGCCTTCAAGCCACGGAGCATACAGACTGGCTCCTCCTCCTCTGAGGCGCCACTCCGCTTAACCTTCAAGTCTAACACCAAGATGCCGCGCTTGACAATGGCAAGCACAAACCTCTTGTTTAGCTGACACGGCTTGGCAATGGCAACACTTTCAAAGAGCTTGATTTCATCAGGTATTTGACCGACACGACAAGCCATAGACATGTTGAAGCCCCCACTGCCACGCACTTCGGTTATCTGGATGTGCATCGTGGCCTCTATGGCGTTGTGGAGAAGTGCTAAGCTAATGTTCACGGAACCGTAGTTGCCGGCAATCCGTCGGGTGTAAGCTTGGGCATATGGCGGGGGTAGCTCGGTCTCACTGATGGTGGCAGCTCCATCTATGAGCTGGAGATCATCATCTTCTCCATCTCCTCTCTTGATCCTTATGTCGTACTCAAGCAGTGCAGGAGTTTCCATCCCAAAGCCTCTCTTAGGGCCAGACAAGAGTATAAAGGGATCGGAGAGGTTGACAATGAAAGGTTTGTCACGACCGCGGTTGAAGACGTAGTTGCGCAAGCAATCCATATGATCTCGAACAGCCATGAAGCCGTACACTTGAATGGGGCCATCACCAATAGCAGGGGCAGCCATGGAGACCAGCTTGAGTGAGAAGATCTGCAACATGGAACAACCTGAGTGGACGATGCAACCAGACCAGTTGGGCCGGCAATCCGTGGTCGGATCAGACAGCATCATCGGCTTCAATGGAGCTGATACAACAATCAGATAGCGACATGTAAAAACACTGAATAACTATATAAAAATTATTAATATAATCAGCGAGTTAAATTTGTAGAAGCAGTAAGTAGATTGGGTGATGGATAGCACTAGCCATTACTGAGTTTCTGGAAATTTGGTTGTCTTAGGCATACGCATGGATTTAAAGAAGAAGAAAAAGCACCGGGATGATGTACATCAGGCTAATATACCGGTTTAGATAATTTTGCCAATTCTCTTCCGCTCCGGCTGTCTATGACGCCCTAGGTTGGCTCCTAATCTAGAGTAGATATGGAGCAACGTAGCGGGAGTGCACCATAGCTAGAGGGGGCAAGAGGAAGAAGGGGAAATTTTGTGCAATATAATAGGGCATCCAAATTAGTATATGAGTAAATTTCACAAAACTACACGTTTTGTAGTCCAAGTTGTAGAAAACCACGCACATTTTGACACTTGGCACTTAAATACATATATTTTGGTAGTGTAGTTTCACAAAACCACACAATCAATGAATGGATTCATCCGCGAGATGACGTGACTGTTTCACCTAGGACGAGGACATGGCATCCTATTACCAGCAATCACACGAAATTAATAGGATGCTACGTCCTCATCCTAGATAGAACAACCACGTCATCTCACAAGTGAATCCATTCATTGATAGTGTGGTTTTGTGAAACTAAACTACCAAAATATATGTTCTTAAGTGCCAAGTGTCAAAATGTGTGTGGTTTTCTGCAACTTGAACCATAAAACATGTAGTTTTGTGAAATTTATTCTTAGTATATCAGCTCAATGAGCTGAGCCAGCCAAATACACACAATCAATCAATATACATACAAAAAAAATTAGGGAGGAATCAAGGGGATTCGAACGATAATAGAACTAAGAAAGGAGATTGGATTCAGTGGGAATGGAGGAGGAGAAGTCTCTTACTTTCGTTGGTATCGGCGATACGATAATAGATACTCCAGTAATCGGTACCCCTGTAGATGGATCCATCTCGATGCTTCCTATCCTCAAGAACATCAGCAGGTTGATGCTTCCTATCCTCAAGAACATCAGCAGGCTGGTCGTCGTCGTCCTCCTCCTCTTCTTCTTGATCCATCATTCCTTCAGTGTCCGTTGTGCCTGCAAGGATCATAGTCGTCCCTCCTCGCCGCCTCTTCCTCCTGAATTTGGATTCGACAACCATCTTCCCGAACCGCTGGGAATCGCCGCCGCTTCCGCCCTCCATCCCTCCTCGATTCGAACAACTCGACTCAGCTAGGGTTTGTTTGCCGCTCCAAAGGGGGATCGGCTCGGTTGCCTTTTATTTCTTTTTTTCGCTTATCTAGCGTAATCAAATACGGTTTCGGTTTTATTCAAACATTGATTTTCATTGAAAACACGCCCGTTTGTGCATTTTATCTTTTTTTGTTTTTTTTTTCAAAAACATAAATTTGTATTATGAAAATGCTGCCAATGTGTTCATCGAGAGAGAGATTGTGAAATTAATGTGTTATCTATCATTTTAAAATTGCCCACTACTGCCACTTGTCAAGTGTAGTAGAAAGACTTTTTTTTTTGTTAATTGGATCCATGCCACTGCAACTTTGTGAAATTAAAAAAATACCACTATTATTCGTCATATTGACTATATGCCACTGGAAATTTCTAAAACTGGAACTATGCCACTCTCATCCCTTTTTCCATCTCCTCTCTCACGCCGTCTCCGTTCCCGTCCCACATGTCAATTTCATCTCCCCATCTTTTCCTCCATCCGGCGCGACTGCAAAGAGGACAGCGGCGGCGGCTCCCGAGCACTCCTGCCACGGATGGCGTCGAGGACGGCAGTGGCGACAGCTCTCGAGACCTCCCGTCGCGGATCGAGGACAGGGGCGGCGGCTCCCAAGCCCTCCTGCGCGGATGGCATCGAGGACTGCGACGGCAACAGCTCCAGAGACCTCCCGCCGCAGATGGCGTCGAGGACGGCGGTGGCGATGGCGGTAGCTCTCGAGACCTCCCGTCATGGATCGAGGACAGAGGCGGCGGTGGCGGCTCCCGAGCCCTCCCGCCACAGATGGTGTCGAGGACGGCGGCGGCGACTCCTGAGCCCTCCGGTGTGGATGACTCCCGAGCCCTCCCGCACAGATGGTGTCGAGGATGGCGGCAGCGACAGCTCCATAGACCTCTCGCTGCAGATGGCGTCTAGGACGGCGGCGGCGGCTCCCGAGCCCTCCTGCGGTGGTCGCGGGTGAGGTACGTCAGCCTCGCTCGGCGCCGGCGACCTGCTCCCTCCTCCTCCGCCCACCATCTTCTTCTCCGAGCTCGCCGCTGGGTGGTGCTCCGTCGCGTCGCCGGCGCTGATGGACAAGAGTGCAGGGCGGCCTCCGCCTCCTCGCGGAAGGGGGATGAGGACGGGAATGGAGACGGCGTGAGAGAGGAGACGGAAAAAGGGATAGGAGTGGCATGGTTTCAATTTTAAAAATTTTCATTGGCATGGTTTCAATTTTAGAAATTTCCAGTGGCATGTAACCAATATGACGAATAGCAGTGGTATTTTTTTTTAATTTTGCAAAGTTGTAGTAGCATGGATCCAATTAATCTTTTTTTTTTCCTATGTCAGGCAGGCACATAAATTGTTGCTAGTTGGAAGCCTGCAGTAATGTAAAATTTTAACTTGTGCGGAGATTGAAACCAGACCAACAATTATAGACTTGATAGAATTGCTTCACGCTATCCTTCTGAATTGCTGGACGCAGTTTCGGCAATACAACACGAACGTACTTACTTAACTTCTCCTACAATAGCAATAATATTTATGATACATTGATCCATCGATCGATTGCATCATTCAATGAAATAAATAAATAAATATATATATATATATATATATATATATATATATATATATATGCTGGTGAGGTCAAAATTAATTAATTAATTAATTTGCATCCATGGATGATGGATCGAAGAAAATACGTACCTCGAACTTTTCCTCGAAATATGCTTTATATTTAGGATTTTTTGGCATGACACCATGGATAGCATCACAGTTGATTAGATCCTCAAGCTTCTGCTTCAGTGTCCATGATTGGTAATCTTCGGCTTGGCTGGGGGTGGCTGGTGAAGGACAGCTTCCATCTTCCATCGTCATGCAGCAACGTCCGGGCAACAGGCGGCGGAAACCCTCCCAGCCTTGCCCAGGAAAGGGTACGAGGAGATGGTGCAGTTGCGCTGGGCTCCCGCGGCCGACGGAGAAAGGTAGGTCAGTAGTCGAGGGTAGGCGGCGGCGGCGACGGAAGGCAGGCAGTCGCGCGCGGAGAGGGGCCGGCGGACAGCGCTGCGCGGAGGACCCCTTTTTTCCCCTTTTTTTTTTCAGTTTCGCTTCTTTTTTGGTTTTTTCTGTTTTTCTTCCTGCCTTCCGTTTCGTTTTTTTCTGTTTTATTTTTTTTCTGTATCTTTTTCGCTTTTTCGGTTTTAATACGTATGTATGTAAACTTTGTATACACATATATAATATTTGTATGCATGTATTTTTTTAAGGTTTTTATACATACGTATACCAATTTTATACAAATACAAACTTTGTATATGCGTATACAAACTTTGTATACATGTACTTTTTTTGTTTTTATACGTACATATACTAATTTTATACATATATAAAGTTTATATACGTGTATTTTTGGGGCTTTTATACGTACATATATAAATTTTATATACACGCATTGTTTAGGTTTTTTTATACTTACGCACACAAAACTTTATATACATGTGTATTTTTTTATACATTAAAAATGTATACATATAAAAAAAATTATATATATACGTGTATACAAAGTTTATAAGTACATATATAAAGTATATACATATAGTAGTATAGACTAGGGGGCAGCTGATCACGCGTGCGGAGCACCGCGCGACTAGTCGCGTATCAGCGCCCCCCTATGATAGATCCCGTCCGTTCAGATTTTTTCTAAAAAAAAGTGCCCATGTGTTGCAACATGAAGAAAATTAAGGAAAATCTCGCTGGCGAATCCGGCCATGTGGAGCAGAGGGATACGAGTCGCCATCCATCTGAAGGTGGAGCAAGGAGAGCAGCCAATCGGTGGCACTGAAGATGGTAGTTTTTTTTTTATAATTTCAGGTGTGTTAGGTCTTGGATACGATTCATGTTCTGCTTGTTGTTGTGCTCTTTTTTGAGGATTTGTGTTTTGTCACACCCTTTTTTTTGAAATTTATATTAAATTTCATTAATTTACAAGTGAAGTTTAATATGAGAAATAAAATTTCCTAATTAAAACATGGCTATATTTAATCATAATTAAATTCTCCATAATTAATTATACTCTTTGGAATTTTCCAATCATTAATTTTAATAATACAAAGAATATTTTATTAATTATTAATATTTGTTTTCATGATTTTTTTAAATTATTTTCATGATATTTTTAAATTATTTGAGCACTGGAAGTGTTTTTGAAAATTCAAAGATCATTTTAGTGATTAATTTAAATAGAAAGTTAATTAAAATCCTCCCTCCTTCCTGGACCAATTCCAATGAAATTTGTTTTCCATCCTCTGCTTTCTTCCTTTCCCCTTCGGCCTAGCAGCAGCAGAGCAAGTGTAGAAAGCCTCCCTCAGTCCCTCCTCTCTCTGTTGCCGGGGGCCCACATGTCGTCTTCCTCCTCCTCCAGACGGAACTCCCATGCCCGACAAATAAAACAACGCATAAATTATATGCACAAAAACATGAACTGAATATATATAAAGCCAGTAGATGTCAAACCATTCAAGTTTTCCGGTGTCAATGCTTTCCCCATAATGAGCAATGCCATTGGTTTTTAGAATTGCTGAAAAATGTTCTACAATGTCGTCATGGCGCCCCTACATTTCACCAAGAAAATTGTTAAAACGTATCATTACAAAATGTTCAAGGATATTATTCCAAAAAGAGAATTCAGATATCTACACTTGCAGGAATTGATAGTATATGGCCGAGTATTTTTTTTAAAAAAAGAAAACGAGATTTGAAGGGAGAGACTTCACTCCAAACATTTTTTTTGTAAGAAGAAATTGTGAGCATGTTAACCTTAGGGTTAAAACCACACACCTTACTACTATACTATCAAGTGCATCTCAAAAAGTATAAATTTTTTGTTCCTCATAAAAGTTTATCGGTGTAAATTATCCAATTTAGATTTTTTTTTGGCTAGAAACTTGTATATTCTTGCAGAAAATTGCTAGGTAGAAATTTTAACTATTGTTGAAAGTTTCTAAATAGAGATTTTTATTTTCGTAGAAAGTTTCTGAATATAAACTTCTGTTTATGTGAAAGTTTTTCGAGGGAATTGGCAGGAACTCTGCCGTTCACTATTAGAAGAAAGTAAACGTCAAACAAGGTTTACATAAAGGAATACAGCTACAGCAGTCGCCGCGTTCATGTACAAAATTCATGGGTAGAATTCTTATAAGCACCTTTATCAATTCTTCCTCCACCATGACACCCCGTCCTCACTGCTGAAAACTCAACCGGGGAATTGAAACCTCAAAGTGTTCTTTTGCTGATGACGAGAATTTAACTTTGTAAAACGCGAATAACATATTATTACTAGGATGGTTCATTCTATACACCATATTTTGGTCTAATCATAACTAAACTCATGTTTGTTTTTGCAAGTACCAAAGGGGATTTTCCTCTTCTTCTTTTTCTTCTTTTTCTTCTTTTTTTTTTTTGAGGGGGCAGGGGGATCATCAGTGCAATCCTGAACAAACATAATGTGGACAGCACACTTCTCCTAAAAATTAATTTTCCAGAACAAGTATCACAGATATACACAACCCATTGTTCGATCAGCATTCAACATCTCCCTCATAAGAAGCAAACATTTAGCATTTCAGTATGGTCATTTGAAGGTACCCTTAATTTTGCTTCCAGAAGTCCTAGTTCTTTATTGATAGAATATGACAGCTGGAAAACTGTTTATAAAGGAGAGAAAAAGTTTACAAAAGAATAAGATACTAAGCCCTGTTTAGTTGTTTAATTAGTAGCCTGATGATGAATATCTCCAGAAGTACGCAAAAAGAAAAAAAGAAAGTGAAGATGTTACTCTGAAACGAAGTAAGATGCAAAAGGTGCAGCAATCAAGCTTTCTGAATGTGCCTGCTGCCCTTATTCACGGTAGGCCGAAAAACTCTATGCCTGTACCATTTTGTCAAAACGCACTGCTTCGTTCGTTAGAGCTGTCACACACTCTTCAATCAACTCAAACTACCTATTCAATACATGCAGATCAATCAATCTGTTGTATTTGCCCTCTGCCAGTAGTTTTCCTTTGATTAGTCTGCTACTGATCTACTTTACAGTTGTATGCTGGTAGTACATGTTGCACATATCAACATGATAACCCTTCTATACACTGTGATGTGGCAGGTATATATATGCACACCATATTAATCACTAGTACCAAACATTTTGATATTCTAACTGAGCTCCTCTATAGCTGCATATGTCAAGATTGAAACTGTTACCTCAAGAGACAAGAAAAGCATGGCCATTCATGCATGTTTGCATAAAACAACTCACCTAAACACCCTTCACTTCAGTTGGTTACCTGTTCCATAGCTGTTGTCGTGACTTTTGAGCCGAACATTTTTACATCATCAATCAGACAAGAATTTTTTCAAAGAAAACATGTTGGATGTTGACAGACTCTACATATTTTCCTTGTTAGTTACCGTCGTCGTCCTCCTAACACCCACCTACTAGTTACTACTACTGCATTTTGCCAACGAAAGCTACTCTCAACTCTGAAAGCTACACACTGATCAAAATTGGTGTGCAGTATCCATTTCATAGCTCCATGTTACTCTTCACTACTTACACTTATGTACAAAGATTTCACTTGGATATGCAAAGTAATTTATTGGGAATGGCAACTGTGTAGAGCTTTGTAGTTTTGACAATTCAATTATTTTCTAGTGTCAATGATACTGCATCTCACTTATTTGGAAGTTTTAGGAAAATGATTCCAGTTAAGTGCCATGAGCCTATGATGTCTAGATAATTGTAAAGGACAATAATGATATTGACTACCATATTCAACTCCCTGAACCAACCCTAGCATTCCAATTCAAGTTTGGTTGATATATGTCATGAAAACTTGACATCTGAAAGTAATTATTATTGCACCTTTATTCCAAAAAAAATATATTATTGCACCTAACTTTGTGCAACAAGGATGACAATCTGTTATCTGAATGTTTTTTAATGCTGCTTTTGCTACAATATATTCCTTCAAAAACGTTTGCTGCACTCCTTTTTTTATGAAATATAATCATCTAAAAGCTCAATAAGGTTTAGAATATTAGTTATTGTGACCAATTTGTGTGCCATTAGCAGCCTCATCGTTTGGCATATTTTCTGAATATGCCAAATGGCATATTTGCAAACGAAAATCAATTTGTGAATAAAACTTTTATATATGTGTTCTTAGCGATCTAAAAGCAAAGGCTGAAAAATAAACTTTGATGAAAAAACCCAAAAATCAGCTCCAAATTTAACGTTGAAAATTCAAATTTTGGCTAATAAGCATATGAATATGCCAAACGATGAGGCCCTAGGTCAGTACTCGTGCTTGTTGGTTGCATAACTGCACACTCCTTTGGCTCCCCACCACTTCTGCCGTGCCAATTCAATCAACCATTCATAATCATTTACTGTATCTTTTTGTCTGAGATTTCTCTCACATGTTGTACCTTCACAATATATGCAGCCAAATTGTTCAGATTCAGAATACACCTGGTCAGTCAGTCAAGTAACGTACTGCAGACCGCAATTTGGAGAACATTGTGAGGAATTCAGTGCATGCACCAACATGTGAAGCATCTTTTCAATTTTGAAAGGACAAGTAGTGGAGCAGCAGGGTTGTTAAATGCCTCCAAATTGGAATCAAGCTATATCTCAGCCTCAGCCTAAAATATTTTCCTAACCAAGAAAATCAGCCTTCTCATGCCAATAGCATGTTCCTTCAATGTGAAGATTGTTCCTAGTGTTAACATTTTGACTTTAGATTGCCTTGAATTGAAGAAACCACATAAAGCTAAAGGGATTGGATGTTTGCCTACTGAACAGTCCTTGTGGTTGCATATGTGGTAGTTAGCAGTTTAGCACCTCTTGCTGTACTTATGCCAATTAGAGCTTGTGGAAATGAATCATTTGATGGAATAAGGATTTGACCATTATGTATATCTGAACTGTGTGGTTGAAGAAATATTTTCAACAACAGTAGCCCCTTTCCTTTTCCTTTTTACTGAAGAGAAAATTCCTTTACCATTTCTTCATTAACTGGAATTATACCCTATTAGTTGCTGAAAAGAGCATACGCCTTACGATAATTTCTTTGATAAGGGAAATTAATATATAAGTCGATGTAGTACTTCAAACAAAATTCACAATTCTGAAAGATCTCTACCTCCATAACCAAGTTACATTTGTTAGTATACATCTCATCGAGCTACTAGGTTGCTTGGACCATCTTTATAAAAAACAAAAAGTAGAAGATTTAGAGATGTACATTTAGTCTATAGCTGATGGAAATAGTGTGGTCAAACAGTAGTAATAATATCTACAACACAAGCCCAACAACTCATACCAGAGCAAAGACTAAGCAGTGTAGCTGTGAGTTTAGTTATGCATATCCTCGACAAGGATGGAAAGAAAGGGGATGATTCATGGATTGATTCTATTGTCAAAAAGAAGAAAAAGAAGTTGTTAACCAAGCACTTAACCATTGTTGACATGGGGGCCATAGGGACTTGGAAAAGTCTCATCCTGTTAACAATATTTTGTTTCTTGGACTTAGGAAAATGCAGTCTTTTGTTCTAAACAAAATGAAGCAAAAACTAAAGATACTTTTTTTGGCCAGTGGAGACATATGTGGACTAGTGGCTCCATTGGAAATGATACGTTAATTCATTCCTCATGATTCCCCTGAAATTTGATATCAGAATTGCTTGATACAGAGGCCTCACCATATAATTATAGAAATGGCCGGTCACGCACATGCAAGATGCAACATCTCTATGATATTTATGCATGGCATAAAAATACTGAAAAATTATACATTTAAGCACCTTTTTTTTAAGAACTGAACTTAAGAAATGGACTTGCTAAATAGTCTGCATACACATTTGTTTTCTCTGTTGCTGAAAGTGAAGGAAAGGTTTTGATAGGATGAAAATCTCTTAAAATCATTATAGATAGTACTAGGTGAAGTTGATGCGTGTTGGTTCACTGATTCTTTAGTACTTGTAGGACAGAAGATAGAATCAAGAACTTACATGGGATTAGCATCATACCACATTATTAACTTAACACTTGCAGTGCAAGTCAAGGTCGCAGGAATGACTATGTACGTTTTAACACTGCAATCCATCATGCATCACAGTAGGATCATATCTCGTTTGTGTAATTCTAGGACAAGATCTTGAAATGTCACATTCGTTAGTCTTGGAGTACTCTTATGATTGTGTCATGTTGTCCTGGGGGGAAACATAACTTGTGTCACACGAGTTACCTGAAGCGCAAATATTCACTAGTACTAATCTTGCTGAATGAATTAAAATGGAAGGAATTACATTAACTATGAATTCATTGGCAAGTACATTGAACAAATAATTAGCCAATGCGCATGGACCATGGATTGATTGAGGGGAGGCAGCTTGAAATGAAGAATGCAAATGCAAGTGTGAAATTAATGATGGCATGAGGCATGTATATATGTAGATTAACGAGAGAATCAAGTGCTAAAGACCTACCTATTCTTTCCAACAAGAAAGCATGCAACCGGCCGGAGTCTACTACCTGTAGCCCCTTTCCTTTCATATATATATACTCTGATCTCATGGATGTGGTCGATCGGCCAGGCTGCTCCTATATAAAGGGCGAGGTGTATAGCAACAGATGTATGCTGCACGCAATCAATTCAGGTCTTGTAAGCTTGCATATAGCTGTCCAGATATGTTTGGTTGCTGACAACAAGCATCTTGATCGATCGAGTTTCAGTATAGTTAAGTTTCAGACTATCAGGCAGCATGGGAAGCAGAGGGTGTTCATGCTGGCTCTTAAGCCTGGCACTGCTCTGCTCCCTGGCTGCTGCCAAGGAGCAATACCATGAGTTTGTGGTCAGTACATATATACATGATCATTTATATGCAGTTACTTAGCTCGTCTGAATCTCATCATATATTTTTGCAGCAGCTAGCTTAATTTGGTTGGCATTTCATCATCTGTGCTGCAGATCAGGGAGACAACAGTGAAGAGGCTGTGCAAGAGCCAAAGCATAATGACGGTGAACGGGCAGTTCCCGGGGCCGACGCTGGAGATAAAGGAGGGGGACTCGCTGATCATCAACCTGATAAACCGTGGGAGGTACAACGTGACGCTGCACTGGCACGGGGTGCGGCAGATGAGGACGGGGTGGTCGGACGGGCCGGAGTACGTGACGCAGTGCCCGGTGAGGCCCGGGCAGAGCTACCGGTATCGCTTCACGGTGGCGGCGCAGGAGGGCACCCTCTGGTGGCACGCTCACTCCTCCTGGCTCCGCGCCACCGTCTACGGCGCCCTCCTCATCCGCCCCCGCGATGGCACCAGCTACCCCTTCCACGTCCAGCCCACCAGAGAGCTCGCCCCCATCCTGCTCGGTACGTACGTTTCTTCTGCTACATATGCTCTTCAATTATTATCTGTCTCACTATTTTGGCTGCCAATTTGTTTAGTTAATTTGACTTCTGGTACATTTGTTTTTGCAATCACATAGCAGATGTATACACGCACACCCACGAATACATATGCTTCTAACACACGCTTAAAGAGACATAGACCAACTGAATATTGTTAACCTCACTAAAATCCTAGTATTAGGCTACTGGTATATTCCAACTCATTTTGATTATGAATTTATGATGGACGATATCCATATGTTTGTACATTTACAATGTAGTATACTGAAGTAATATGGCTTATTTATTAATACCTATGATTTTATCTTTAGAATATAAATGTTCACACTGAAAAAATGCCAACTCAAAATTGCAAAGTACTGTGAAATGGAGAGAACTTTTTTTTCCCCACTATTGCCTAGCTGGATAGTGTACACACATTACCAAACCGACAAAAAATTGTGCAACCATCATCACTGAAATTTCACGCAGCCAATCACTTACAGGTCAAAAGTATGTCCTAGCCGAAATGCAAAAGATTTATAAAGCCAAAGAAAAAGAAGATGCATGTATATGCTTCTTCTCTAATTATTTTTCATGATCAGGAATAGCATGCAGGTAGCTAATGATATTTATAGCGGATTAATTTATTGGAATTAAATTGATCTCGGAGACACGATTGGTCGGTACCATTGCTATAGTGTGGGGTCAAGCTGTCATAATTTAGCTGCTTTTCACGCATGTTAACGGCCATTATCATTGTCATCAACCACATATTCCTTTCATCAGAAAAAAGAAAAACCACAGCTTTCTAGCCTTAGGTTGGTTGGTACCAGCTTACTACAAGCTGCTTAGCTCAAAGTCAAAACACATGCATGAGTCAGGGCAGGGTTACCAAACAAGTAAGCATCAGTGCATCATAGCTTTCCAAAGAGCCATACATGATCTATCTCAAGAAAAAGCTAGCTAACCAATCATGTTTATGTATCAAAAACTTCATCATTGTGCATGTTTCTCAGATCCTTCTTCACTCATCAATCTGAATTCTGGCGCAACACTTAAAACATGCACATGCTGCCTATGCAAAATTGATGCTGAAAGCATGCTCAATGCTCAATATTCCTCAGAGCCAGCTACTTTTACAAACATTTTTATACTCCTACATGTACCTGAACCTTAAGAACTAAGATATCATCTTTCTCCTACAAAGTACAATTGAGGTTTGTATCAAAGTTTTGCTCCCTAATAATTAAGAAAATATTCTCAATGAATGTGCAATGCAAGGTTGCAATACATACTTTTTATTTGTTAACAAAAGAAGGTTGCATTAAAAGTTATCAATTTCTAGAGAGATGCATACACTAGTCTGAACATGTCAAAAGTGAAGAAAATGTTCTTAGAAGCATATGTCCCATTGTTTGAAAAAGTTCGTCCTTGGTCCTCAAAAGTATAACTTCCGGGGAAACCACATAGGCTGTATTTAATTCCACGCCAGAATTGAAAGTTTGAAGAAATTAGAACGATGTGATGGAAAAGTTGGAAGTCTGTGTGTGTAGAAAAATTCGATGTGATGAAAAAGTTGGAAATTTGAAGAAAAAAGTTGGAATCTAAACAGGGCCATAATCAAAATTGCACAATTCAGCCATTTTATTCAGAATGTCGTTGTGAGCTTGTAGCCGACATGGCTCAATGTATAGGCTTAGCTATTCCCTTTTGTATCTTTAGTTGTTGAATAAGAGGAATTCGTATTTTTAAGCAAAAGAACATGTAGGTAGTTAAAGGGGTGAGGGGTCACTTAAGCACAAGAAAAAGACAAAGATTAGTTGAAGGTTGAATGGTTGATAGTTGACACACTACAAGTCTGATAAGCAAAATGGTTTGGTGCTACTGTACTGCTAATTAAGGCCATGGATTTCCATGTTGCAAATCCATGTTTACTCTGGCAGTTTGGTACAATTAACAGAAAGGAATGTCACTATACCAGCAGGCTCATTACATGTTTGATTATCAATAAATTAAAATCAGTAAAATCATACTCCCTCCGGTTAAAAATACGGTCTTTTTTTTCAAATGCGAAAAAAATTGCACGTCAATATATTAAAAGAAAAACGTTTTTGTTATACAACGTAATCAGCCAGACCGGCTTATGTCAAGAGAAAGGAGAAAATGCAAAACAAAAGTTGAAGTGAAAAAAACTTCTACGGCGGCTAAATGCAACTCCGAACGTTTTAAAATACAGTGAAACTGATTTATACTAAAATAAGTTTATAAAATATAATTAGTTTAAGATATTATAATTTTTAATGCAAATCCACGTATATTTTTTTAAGAAAATTTAAGTATTTTTTTTAAAAAAAATATTAATGTTTGAAATTTTAAATTTTTGATCAAATCTGAGGAGTTGAGCCCTGAAACGTGTTTAATTGGTTACAGGGGAATGGTGGGACATGAACCCCGTCGACGTGGTGCGCGCCGCCACGCGCACCGGCGCCGCGCCCAACATCTCCGACGCCCTCACCGTAAACGCCCAGCCCGGCGACCTCTACAGCTGCTCCTCCCACGACACGGCCTTCTTCCCCGTCACCTCCGGCGAGACCAACCTCCTCCGCTTCATCAACGCCGCGCTCAACACGGAGCTCTTCGTCTCCCTCGCCGGTCACAACATGACCGTCGTCGCCGCCGACGCCTCCTACACCAAACCGTACACCACCTCCCTCCTCCTCCTCGCCCCCGGCCAGACCACCGACGTCCTCGTCACCTTCGACCAACCTCCCGGCCGCTACTACCTCGCCGCCCGCGCCTACGCCAGCGCCCAGGGCGTCCCCTTCGACAACACCACCACCACCGCCATCTTCGACTACGGCGCCGCCAACAACGCCTCCAGCGCCGCCATCGCCATGCCCACCCTCCCGGCGTACAACGACACCACCGCCGCCACCGCCTTCACGACGAACCTGCGCGGCCTCCGCAAGGCGGAGCTCCCGTCGCGCGTGGACGAGAGCCTCTTCTTCACCGTCGGCGTCGGCCTCTTCAACTGCACCAACGCCACGGCGCAGCAGTGCGGCGGGCCCAACGGGACGCGGTTCGCGGCGAGCATCAACAACGTCTCCTTCGTGCTCCCCTCCTCCACCTCCATCCTCCAGGCGCACCACCACGGCGCACCCGGCGGCGTGTTCACCGCCGACTTCCCGGCGAGCCCGCCGGTGCAGTTCGACTACACGGCGCAGAACGTGAGCCGCGCGCTGTGGCAGCCGGTGCCGGGCACCAAGGTGTACAAGCTCAAGTACGGCTCCGCCGTGCAGGTGGTGCTCCAGGGCACCAACATCTTCGCCGGCGAGAACCACCCCATCCACCTCCACGGCTACGACTTCTACATCCTCGCCGAGGGGTTGGGCAACTTCGATGCCGGCGCCGACACGGCCAAGTTCAACATGGAGGATCCGCCGATGAGGAACACGGTGGGCGTGCCGGTGAACGGGTGGGCGGTGATACGGTTCGTGGCGGACAACCCGGGGGTGTGGCTGATGCACTGCCATCTCGACGTGCACATCACCTGGGGCCTCGCCATGGCCTTCCTCGTCGACGACGGCGTCGGCGAGCTGCAGTCGCTGGAGGCGCCTCCACCTGACCTGCCACTCTGCTAGTGCCTCCATCAACACATCAAATTAATCACCTCTTGTGTTACTGTTAGCAGCTGATTAATCATTTGGAGATCAGCATTACTGAATTAATTACATGTATCATTTTTCACATTTGATTCATTAAGAAGATAACAACATTCTCTTCAACGCCCAATTGCATGTATAAGTATAATAACAATACAGATTGAAGTTTGTTGCAAGCATGTATCAAGAAAAGTCCTTACCTCGGAGAGAGACAAAGAAATTCACCTGAAAGATTAATTATTGGGTTAATTATCTCCTGGAAAAGAGCTGCTAAGGACAATACTACAAGTGAGCTTGATAAATGACAGATTCACTTCATCGGTTTGTCATACACAACACTACTCTGTTGCATGCGAATTGTGAATTGCATCTCTTATGCTATTAGCAACTGATTAATCATTTATTTGGAGGCATTGAATTGCATGTACCATCATTTTTCATATTTGTTCATGATCAAGAAACGGCATTCTCATTAACACAGATTGCTGAGGTTGCAAGTATCAATAGAAATCCACACCTGCCAAATTCACCTCAGAGAATGGATCATCTCCTGTCTGAAGAGCTGATAAATACAGCACTGAACTCGACCACTGAGAGATTCAGTTCATTCATTTGTCGCACACAACACAAACTGAAAGTCAATTTTTCTTTCATTTGCCTCTTTATACTCTTAGAGTATACAGAAAATATGAAAAAGTTATTTCATTGGTTTCTTCATGCACTTCCTCACACCAGCAACCATACCAGCCACTAGCTTCTAAATAATAGCTTTTATGCTCTCATGTGCATCCTTCAACTATCTATCACACACAAACTACTGTACATGTATCACACACCAGCACTGTACATGTTTCAAGAAATATACAAATATGTGTAACAGCAATGGCCGCTCCCCCAGCCTCCCAGGGAACAAAAAAATTGATCAGGTGAAGAGAAATAATAAAAGAGAAACAAAACAATTGACCAATTCATTATGTATTGAGAGCATCGCAGGTAACTCCATAACTTCCACTCTAGTATGCTTTTCACTTTTCACTTGGGGGGAAATGATCGATTCTTATACCGAGGTGGCCTCATCTCATTTTCAGGGGCATCACTCTTGCCGCTGCTGCTCTTGCCTCTTAATGGCTCGGTTTCTGAATTATTAGAGATGTGGTTCTGTCGTTGTCTTCTTTCCTGCAAATCAGTTGACAAGTGTTTAATTCATGAGGCAATGATATAATAAATCCATGATTTCATTATGATAAACATTAATACCACGTTATGCAATGCTCTCTATGTCTGATAATGCTGATAAGACAGGTATACATGATATAATCAAATAAGATTGCTCACGTGGTCCATATGTCACTAATTTTACTGTGAGATGAACTTTGGATGTACTTATAACACAATATAGCAGATATGCATGATTTCCAGGTAAATCACTAATCGTACTCTTTAGGTAAAGGAAGAGTTTACAGCTACAGCATTTGCATCTGATATGCACACAGCTATATGAATATGTCACTTATCATATGTATATTTTTGTCACGAATCAAACCTCTTGAGGAATGGGTTCATTAGAGTCCAACATCCGGACCACCTGGTCCATCCTTGGTCTCTTCTCAGAATTCAAATCGATGCACCTCAGAGCTGTCAAAAGGGCACGTTTGAGCTCCTTTGTCGATGGTCTTCTCTCCAGGTTTGGATCAACAACTTCTTCTGATCGTCTGTTGGCAACCATCATTTTAAGCCAGTCAACTAGGTTTACCTACAAATGATCAGTAGTGTGTTACAGTACTTGTCAAATCATAAGTTCATAGCTTCTCGATTGCTTCATAAGTGATTGTAGACTGTAGTTGCATGCTTTTATGTAATAACTTGGTACCGAACAATACAGGAAATCGATGTCAACAGGTATTACCTCATCTGGAGGGCGATCATAGTCAATGGGATCTCTACCTGTAATAGCTTCCAGCAGAACCACCCCAAAACTGTAGACATCACTCTTTTCATTCAAAAGTCCACTGTTAGCATACTCGGGCGCAACATAGCTGCAAAATAATAACACAATTGTTGAGTACCATTAGTGAATAGCACCAACAGAATTTTTCTGAAATTACAGTGGCTAAGATTTGAACATAATACAAAGAGAACATGCCTCAATTCATTATACAAAGGCATGAAAAACTTACCCAAAAGTACCCATAACTCGAGTAGCAATATGACTTTTACCAGCACCTAGCATCTTGGCCAAACCAAAGTCAGATATTTTGGCGTTAAACTCATCATCAATCAATATATTACTGGCCTTGATATCACGATGCACAACTTTTGGTTCAATTGCCTCATGTAAGTAAGCAAGGCTGCAAATGTGGTGGTTCTTACCAAATTAGTATTTGCCAAGCAATAAGATGATACAATCTATACTTGATTTATATTCATGATAGTATAGACAACGACTACTTGTGCATAGTAGTGACTAGTAAGCCTAAAATCACAAAGCTGTCAAGATTGTAACATGCACAACAATTTTTAATAGAGCAGCTATCAAGATTGAATGTGCTTGTGTGAATCAATCAGAAGGCGACATTTTTAGTTCTAAGGCATTTAATGGAATAGATAGAGACCCAATAAGTTCACAGTTCGCACCAAGCAAAATCACAAATACAATGTTGACAGCAAACAATTGATCTAGAATGGGCATTTGAATCCACAAGAAGCAATAGTTTAGACTCAGTGAAGGAGTTACTCACGCCTTTGCAGTACCCAAAAGAATTTTCATGCGCGCTAGCCAAGTGAGAGAACTATATTGGGATAACTCTCCATGTAACCAACTTTCAAGATTCCCATTGTTGACATACTCATACACAAGCATCCTGATTATCCACACACAACAAACAATTTCAGTTAAGATACAACAGGTCATAATCTAAGCAATGAGTCCTAATAATACCCATACCTTTGAGTGCCTTCAACACAGTACCCCAAAAGGCGAACCAAATTCTTGTGTCGGACATGACCAATTGCTTCAACTTCCACTCTGAATTCTCTCTCAGCTTGTCCTCTGCACAGGGCAAGTAGTCATAGCTTAAGTAAAAGGAAGGACAACAAACTGACCCATGCACTGCCACTGCATCACCAAAGAATTGTTATAAGAAAAAATGGAAAATACTCACAGATTGTTAAGGATTTTTTTGACAGCCACTGGGGTGCCATTTGATAATCTGCCACGGTAGACAACACCATACCCACCCTCACCAATTACATTATCCTTTGAAAAACAGTTGGTTGCAAGTTCCAGATCCCTGAGAGTGAACCAATGACCCCAGCCAAGGTAAGAGAACTCAGGTAAGCCTGGCAAGGGAACAGAGTCGGCGGGAGCATGCGAGGAAGACTGTTCACATGTGGAAACAGATTGAATTCCATCATAGTTGTCCACATAATGAAGAGGAACAGAAGAACTGTTATCTTCTCCTTGTATCGTCTTGTCCTCTTGAGCAAACTGATTCACATCTTTATCCACTGGTTCAACAGGTTCATTCTGAATGGCGAGTAGAAGTCCATCATGTACAACGAAATCATTGGGCAAAAATTCCTCCACTGCCCTCACTTCCTTGATATCTTTGGATGCAGAAGGTATTTGGGTAATTGGAATTTCCTTGAATGTCCTACGTGACCGTTTGATCCAAGTTTGTATGGTGAGGCATACAATAAGGATGAGAAGAACACCAAGTAGGGATGCTCCAACAGATATCCCAATTACAACCCAAAGTTTCAGGCCAAAAACAATTGTTCTCTCATGAAGAGAGTCTGTTAGAGTGGAGTTTGACGACATCTTCGGATCATCAAGTACCTAAATGGGGAAGATAAGAACATGTCACTCACAAATGCAAATCACCATTTCCCTCAAACATAAAAAAAGAGTGCATTTCTGCAAGACCATATAACACATATAATATATGATTCTGATAGACCATGACAGTAAAGTAGAAAGAAATCATCAAAAAGAGTTACATACATATAAGCTTGCTAGCCGATCAAATGTTCTTAGGATTGCCACAAAGACAAAGGCATGGAAATTTAACAGAATGGTCAGGAACACTACAACTCGTTGAGTCGGCAACACTAGTGGTCATGAGAAAGCTACATGGTAGCAACCAGATAATGACCATGAGTTCAAGACAACACATCGCCATTTGGACAGTATCAATTATCAATGAAGCAGCTCTGACCTGTCAACTACCGTTCCCACTTATTGTTCAGAATCGAACAGCTACAGGTTGACATAATTAATTGAGTTATAAACACAAGCCCTTAAGATAGATGATTACAGGCGTTTGAAGATGTAAGTTAAATTTTCCACTAGATCTTACCAAGGGAAAAAAATACTAGTAAATATGGGCTACCATTGCAACAGTTGGAAAGATAGAATATTTACAGAGGCAGTCAACTTGGAGTGGATGACAAGAAAGAAAGAAAGAGTAACCAACCTTTATTGGATACAATGGTGAGGAACCAGAAATTGGCCTTCAAGAAGTGAATACGGTAGTGAATGCTGAAGAGCGACCTGAATCCAGAGCCATGGGGAGTGGCAGGCAGAGGGGAAACCTGTAGATCAGAGGAAAGGGTATCCACGCAAATCTGAGGGTAGGGGGGAATGGGAATGAGAGGAAGAAGAAAGCAAATGTGGACGCATACCTGAGCGAGATCCAGACGCAGGAAGAAGAGAAAGCTTGCACTTTGGAGATTGCTTGCTTGGTGCAGGACTGCAGGTGAGGTAGGGGTGATAAGAAGACGACGATAGTGGTGGAGTGTGGCAGCAGCGGCGGCAGGAGGAGAGGAGTTATCATGTGAGGTCGGTAGGTGATGGGAGTGATGGAGAAGAAACCAACCTTATTACGCTTTCTTTTTTTTTCCTCCCGAGGATTAGACTTGCACTGCAAAAACAATTCCAAGATTTGGGTTCGGTTCCTATGGATTCAATCACAAGGAACCAGTCACAGCGAAATCTGCGACGGAAGAATGGGGACGACGGCGGCGAGCTTGGTTTCCCTGAGACTGCTCGCCTCCGCTTGAGGCCGCCACCTTGCAGCTGCTGCCTGCTCCCACTGCCGCCTGGCGGAGGCTGCGGCGCCGTCCGTTTGCTGGAGTCTCTGCCGACGGCTTCCCTGCTGGAGCTCGCGCAGTCGCTCTGTCTGTGTCTGTGTTTCCTCTTTTTTTTTCTTTTTTATTATTTTGAGATGACATACTCGCGCTGTGAGATTAGTTTCGCTTGATTTATAAGGAGCGAGCGGCCCTATCAAGCCTAGACGATTAATAATGTTTTCCGTGATCAACTAATTTTATAGATATCAACAATTACCGATAGTAAAGATGACAATGGTGGAGTGAGGGTGACCGCTTGACCTGCCCAAGAACTCTACCCGCTTATAGTTTTTTTATTAGGCTCTAATACAAACTAATAAAGGAAAACTTAATACGATATTCTCAATTTATAAGGAGAATAGTATTAAGTATTCAAACAGCTCAACAGTTGAAAATTATGCAATAGAAGGGGAGTCTGAATTGTAAACTATGTAGGGAGTTAGAAGATGTGGATCATTTGTTGTTTAAGTGTGCTCCTGCCAAGTTTCTATGGTGTTGCTTGAGGGATGCCTTTTACTAGGATAGGATTTCCCACTTGTAGATCTGATTTTACACCTTCTTCGTTTGAAGGAGGGGGGAGAGAATTCAGTATTGCTAACAATTTTTGGAGCATGTGGAGTGTGAGAAATAATTGGGTCTTTAATAATAAACTGCTTTCTAATGTGATTAACTTGCCTCATCAAGTAATTTCTCTGTTATCACATTGGAGAAGATTGGCGCCTGCGAAATGGAGGGGAGAGTTGGATGTATTAAGGGGATTTCTGCTTGTCAGTATGCAAGAGAGAGGGGAGTCCCGACCCTGCAAACGCTGAGCTGGTGTCTTCTGATGGCCTGGACGCTGGAGTGGCTGGCTTGTAACCCAGCCTAGTCTTCTGCCTCTGCTTTGGGTCGAAATCTGAAGTGACATGAAGGAGAACTCTGCCTGCTGGTGCTCATGAAAAAGGACTTCCATTTTCCCTGGCATGTTGAGCTGTGCCAGCAGCACTGATACTCTCTATTTTAGCACTCTGTTAGAAGTTGTTTGCGAGAGCCTGCGTGCTCACTCAAAGCTAATTCGAAAGCTGGAAACCCCAGTTCTTTGTTTTTGTTCTTTCTTTTGTTTCTTTGTTTGTAAGACTCTTATGCTTTCAAGTTAAAGTTAGGCGGGCAACCGTCTTTTCTCTAAAAAACACTATAAACATGGTGCGTGGCCTTACATGTGTGCCTTGCATTTAAGTCCAACCTATATCAATATACATGCCAAGATGAAGAAGAAAAGAGAGAAGGATTTGAGAAAGTGTATTTTTCATCCCTCGTTTCTTACATGTCACCTAAATAGCCATTAAAATTTTAGAAAATTGGCAAGATAGATTAATATGAAAGATATCACTCCACAAACATGAAAACAAGTTCAAATTCAACTTCTACGAGTTATAACAAAAATAACAAATATAACTGTGAATATATGCTACCTATTTTCAGTTTAATATATTCTTTCGGTTGTAACTTATAGAAGTTGAATTTAGCCTACAAACATATAAAAGTTCAATTTAATTTGTTCTTATTGATCTTCGTTCATTTCTTTCAAAATCTGTTCGAGCCTACTTAGGATGTAGTCATTGATTGCCGGGCATTGTGTCCCTTGCCTTTTAACCGATCCTTGCAGGTGATTCTGGAGTTGGGTCACATTGAATCCCTTCACTTTCTTGTGGCACGCTAAGCAGCGGCCGCCATCTTTTCCAAGCCTCTCCCCGAACTCCCAAACCTTGCTTACTTGGTGACCTCTAACTTTTCCTCCAATCTGTGGCCTGCAAATTCAGTATTTACTGGTTTATAAATCGATCAACAGTGACAGTGAGAACACTACAGTAAATAATTATTAATCAATCAATTGTTGTGTGCATGCACTACTAGTATATTGCAATAGGCAGGGGAGCATGTTAGTTAATTCAATGCAACAAATTAAGCTGAATTACCTGTATGCTGGAAAATAAAGCTTCAAATAGTCATGGATCGCCTGGCAGGTATTCTCCATATGGGTCGTAGCTTCATCTTTTCCCCTGCAGCAGCACAGATCAATTATGAGCACAACACACACGTAATACAATTATATTATTATATATGGAAGATTATCAACAACTGAAAAGATGAGTGCTAATAGCCAAGTGACACTTACGATGGAGTATCTCTCTTTGCATTCACCCAATCCTGGATTTCTTTCAGAACACCACCGTTAACAAAGGCACTTCCGGTATTTCCCGAATAAATGATCTCAATTTTGTCATGATAATAGCGCATAGCAGCAGCAGCATTGCCAGAACGCATAAGCCTTAGGTACTCTTCTGCCATGAGCAAAATGACGATCTCGGGATGAGCAACATAAATGTCTTGGGGTGGCGCGTCAGGTACTGGGCCATTGATGGCTTCGCCATTACGGACCATGCGCATCAGCCGCTGCAGAGCTCCCTCCCAACGATGTTGTTCCAACAAATTATCTAAACTCAGCCTGCACCATGTAGTAGAAACCAAGTGGTTATATATAAGTTTGTGGTCAGCTAGTGCAACGTACAGTTGACTAGCTAGAATATCAAATATATGAATGAATCTGCTTGCATGCATGTTAAGTATTCTCACTTGTCATCCTCATCTTGATGTTGCTCAACTGGATTTTGCTGATCTGCAGGGGCTTCTAGTTGGGCTCCCACCAGTTGCTCTAATTCATCAAGGGCTTCTTGTTCTATCAGCTCTGCAACTGCAGCGTCTATCTCTTGATGCACTTGTATCCTTCCATCGGGCAATTCCGAGGTCTCAGGTTGTATCTCTTCTATTATCAACCTATAAATAAGTAATATCATATTGATGCATTTTCAACTAACTATATAATACTCCAATTAGTTAACTGCTTATGTATATCAGCAGTTTAGTACTTCCTCTGTTTTATAATGTAAGACTTTCTAGTATTGTTTATATTTATATAGATGTTAATGAATCTAGGTATATATGAATATGAATAATACTAGAAAGTCTTACTGTATAAAATGGAGGGAGTACGTATGTACTTACTGTAAGATCTGCTGGCGTTCATCGTTTTCTCCTGAGTATGCCTCTTCCTTTTTGGCGGTGAAGCCCCACAAATGAGACCTATAATCACTCATATACACAGGGAATTAAGAACTAGTATAATTAAGATCGAATTCTTAACCAAGTAGTGTAGTTTGCATGCATCCTACGACATGGTGCAAGCATCAAAATTCTCGCTATTTATATGCCTATAATGCGTACTCGATCATCAATTAAAATTTATACTCCCTCCATCCTAAAATATGTCACATCCTATATTAATTTAATTTATTTTAGGATGAAGGGAGTATAATCCAGCATAATCTCCCTATTTCAAAATAAACCAACCTTAGTAATGATGTGACACAAATTAGCCAATAAATCTAAAAATAGGGTTGTTCAGATTTGTTGCACTAGGTTGTGTCACATTCTTGGTTTATTTTAGGACGGAGGGAGTATATATATACATGTGTGTGAGATAGCTAGCTAGTAGGAAGTATCGTATACTTAATAATATATCTTCTAATACACAGTATATGAGTAAAGTCCATCACCGGTCCCTAAACTTGTACCGATGTGTCATCCCGGTCCCTAAACTCGCAAATCGACCGTTCAGGTCCTCAAACTTGTTCGACTGTGTCATCCCGGTCTCTAAACTTGCAGATCACTCGTTTAGGTCCTCCAAGTTGTTCAGTTGTGTCACCCTGGTCCCTAAACAGGACAGTCTAAAAACTTTATATCAAAAAATAATTCATAACTTTTTCATGTGAACTCTAATGAAGACAAACTTTATATCAAAATTGTAGCCCTCGACGCGACCTACAACTTTGTAGTTGAAAATTTTTTGAATTAAAACTGTTTAGGGTCCCAAAATATTGTTGCATATTTATAGATTTTGAAATTTTGATTTTAAAATTACATTTTGGGACAAAAAATGACTTAAAATAAAAAAAAAATCAACTACAAAGTTGTAGATCGCGTCGAGGGCTACAAGTTTGATATAAAGTTTATCTTCATTAGAGTTCACATGAAAAAGTTATGAATTATTTTTAAATATAAAGTCTTTAGACCGTCCTATTTGACCCAGATGATATTCAAATCCAAATTTAGGGACCGAGGTGGCACAACTGAACAAGTTGGAGGACCTAAACGAGTGATCTATAACTTTAGGGATCGGGATGACACAGTCGAACAAGTTTGAGGACATGAACGGTCGATTTGCGAGTTTAGGGACCAGGATGACACAGCGGTACAAGTTTAGGGACCGGTGATGGACTTTACTATATGTAACACCGATATGCATGTATAGATGATATGTAACTTTGTCAATTTTTTTTGTTCAATCTTCTGCCACTACGTACTCCCTCTGTCCCAAAGTAAAATGTTGAAAACTTATCTTAAAATGTAGCAATTTCTCTACCTTTATATCTTCTTCATCAATCACAACATTCCTCCGTTTGGCTCTACTACCTCCTTTTCTCAACTAATAACAACCTTGCTGCATTTAATTTCACCAACTTTCTTCATCCTATATCTAATCTCAAAACCTGTTATATTTTGGTACTAGGAAGGAAGTACTGTCTAACATTACAAATACGGAAGAAGGTAAATGTATGTTACAAAATGATGAGAACACAATTTTCTAACTAGCAAATTGGTGTACATAGCAAATTAAACCAGCAGTAGGTGAAGGCATAAATAATTAAGATTTATATTAATTTATTGGTGCAGATAGATGGAACAACTCGATTGTGCTAGATAGATAATATGCATGGATGTAAAGCTATTATATTACAGGATAGAGTACTCAGGTATATAACTCCTATTACAAGATAGAGTAATCGGGTATATAACTCCCATACTCGGAGTATGTTCGGAAGTCACTTTTTCATCTTTTATTCCCTCTTTTCACGCGCATGCTTCTAGAGCGGCTAAATGATATATGTTCGCACAAATTTTTTTTTTAAAAAAAGTTACTTTAAAAAATAATATTAATCTATTTTTATGTTATTTCTAACAAATACATAATTAATTATACGCTAACGAGCTATCTCATTTTCTGTGTCAATGGGGGAAGTTCCCAACTTGCTCCAACAAACACAGTCTTAATTTAATTATAATTGTGTCCCTAGTCTAAGCCTCTAAGGCATACTAACATAAGCATGATCGAAAAATAATCAAATTAATGTGTTTAACATATTAGATATCTTAAAGGTGCTGGATTAGCTGCCCTCCTAGCGATTTGGGAAGCCAGCGCCCACTGCAACATCGACACGTCATAACAAGCAAAAAAAAATTTAGGCCCTGTTTAGATGGGACTAAAAGTTTTAAGTCCCTATCACATCGGATGTTTGGACACCAATTATAAATATTAAACGTAGACTATTAATAAAAACCCATCCATAATCTTGGACTAATTCGCGGGACGAATCTATTGAGCCTAATTAATCCATAATTAGCCTATGTGATGCTACAGTAAACATTATTTAATTATAGATTAATTAGGTTTAAAAAATTTGTCTCCCGAATTAGCTTTCATTTATGTAATTAGTTTTGTAAATAGTATATATTTAATACTTTAAATTAGTGTCTAAGTATAGGGACTAAAGTTAAAGTTAAGTCCCTGATCCAAACACCACCTTAATAAGCGTTAGATTAACTGCGGGCCCTGCAGATCCACTCATCGATTTTTGCAGAAATCCCCTCATTATTTCGGTATTTCCAGTCCAGTCCACTGAATCAGAGCCGTTCAACCCCACGCGTGGACACAATCTGACCGTTCGTCTCCTATCTATATGGCTCCGTCCTTACCTACCCGTGGAATCGGTCGTCGCTCATCTCCCCACGTCGCATCCCGTCGTCCCCATCGAGCGATCCCCTTCCTCCCTGATTTCTCCGTCTAGAGGCGGCATCGATGCTCCTCGCCTCCAAGATCTTCCATCGTAGGTCGTCGCCCACGACGGCTTGCCATCTGCTATCCCGTGCCCAGATGTTGGATGCATGATCTCCTCCGTCGGCACAATCCGTGTAGCCGCATCCATCGGCGTTCGTCTCCCCGTACGGTGGCGACCGGATTGGCCACTGACCAGTGCCTCCTCTCCGTACACGAGAGTTGGGTTTTCTTATGTTCAAGCTCCCTCCTCGGTTGCTCCGTTCATCTTCACTGGATTTCTCTGGTGAGTCTGCTGCATTCTTTGCCTTCTTTTATCCCCTTCCTTCACCCTTCTCTGGTCAACTACATCAGTGGCTGCAAGCCTGCAAGATGGAGCTGAGTTGGGAGGCTGAGCAAGCAGCAACAGGAGGAATCAAGGAACAAGGGGGAAAATGTGAGGGAGGAGGAAACTGGGATACCTAAGTAATTTGCTAATGCGTTTTTAGGCTACCTATTCCAATCCCTCATCGTATGGTGTACATTCAGATTCAGATATGATTGGCTTGATATTTAGGAGGTAGGTTCATGCTTTGTCCTAATTTCAGTTATTTGTTTTTATTTTCACAAAATTGTTCAATTTGGATATACCTAACTTTTTCAGTCTTTAGAGGCCAAATCAAGGAATGCAAATAACTATGGAGTTGTACAGGGTTCCTTAAGCCCTCTATTAAGGTAAAGAACATGGAAATCTACCAAGTAGAATAGAAGTTATCACAATCTGAACTCTGTTGTATTGCAGTTCAACCATAACTCGAGCTGTCAACTTGCAAGGGTTTTCATCCTGTCTATATGGTCAAATATTGCCAGTCTGTAACTAAATGTTGTAAGGTATGTGATCCTCAATCCAGTGTTTGCGTATTAATTTACTTATTGTATCAAGCTTTTCTATTAACAGAGTTGTGGTTTCCTGTTTTTCTTGTTCTGTATATATTGCAATTCAATATTTTTATATCAGCTACTGGATGACAATGATTTTCGAAAACTGACATGGCACCTCACTTGGTCGCATTAACGAATCTAGAGTCATGTTCTATTTAATTTCAGCGATATGTGCAGTTCATTATGATTTCTCTAATATATGATGTGTCTCAGCCTGTGAGATAGTTGCCAGACACTTATAATCGGTAGGTCACCCAAGATACAAGTACAAAGCAAGAGATATTCATCAAAGGGTACACAACAATTTTGTAGGTAAGTGGCTTTCAGTTTTGTTGTAAAAAAAAACTTATGGGAAATTTTAGATGTGCTACTTTATTCGCTGAAGTGTTATCTGTATAGATTAGTTTCACCTCATTATACACGAGTTCATGCAAGACCAACACAAATTATTGCCATGCATTCTCTATATTCTTCACTGTGTATGATACATAATGATATAAGTGATATGGTGGCATTAAACTATTGAGAACTGCAGTTTGGTATTATGTGCCAGATTACCCATTTCAAAATTATACAAATGAAACATCCTATTGCAATAGCTATTGTTTGGTTTTAAATATCTGAAGAGGATTTTACCAAATTGTTCTTTCGTCCAGGACAGCCATGGTATCTGATTATTCTCAATTGTTCTTGATCTTCAGACAAGTGAAAAATCGTTGGTCAGTTTGAAGGAACAAATTTCCTCTTGCAAAATACCTATTCCTGTCTAGAGGGCCAATGCACTATCCTCAGCTCAGGAAAACATAATGGATGAAGCTGTCAATTGTTCCACTGAGGAACAAACACAAGATAAGATAATAGTGAACATTCATACTGCATTGATCTCTGCTCCGAGTTCTAAGCAAGAGGTAATCCTTATGAACTTTCTTATTTGATTTATTTCTGAGATGTGCTTATTAAATTTTTGCATGGTGGCATTAGTAATGTTATATGGACTATCAGGTCAATCTTGACGCTTCTTGAATTGAATCAATGCAAAAAAAAAAACACGATAATTATTTTTGCCCTTTGTATCATGGAGAATTAGTAGACATTTTATGTTCAGATATTATAGTCATATCTTTGGAATGGCAAGACAAACCTATACCTTTTTAGGTGCTAAGCTATACATAATTACTTTTATGTTACTTCAAAGATGCAATTCACAATATTTTAGGTTTTGAAAATTGGACATACTACAGAGTGCTTAGGATGCAGTAACATACAAAACCTTCGTTAGCTGCATATGATATATAATATAATTATGTTTTCAGATGGGCCAAATGACATGCATTTGTAGCTCATCTCCTGATGAAGGTGGTCATCCCAGAGCTTCAGTATTGTGCGAGCTATTCTGAGATACACTGCCACTGGAGTCGCTCAAATGTAAGTAATTATTTTAAACAGTTATGTTCTACTTGTGTGGTTATTTGTTTAAACAAGTACTAACTGCCCATTCACTTTAGATTTGGGGCTCCCATGTAATATTATCCCACCTACCATGGCAAGAAGCTGTCTCAAATATAGCAATGCTCACGCTTCGGCCACTCTTTGTTTTGTGGTGGGAAGATAAGACCAAGGATATGTTCATCTGTATTGGCCTGGGGATCGACCAACTGATGTTCTAGCTATTGCTAGCTCACCATGTCTAATAGGCAAATACTAAATGATCCGTATCGCCGATTCATAATATTGAGCTTCTAAAAATTATCCCTACAAAGGATTGTGCATATTCAGTCAATGGTGCTTGCCATTTCTGAAACCAGGCTACTTTCACTAAATGGCACAAAATGCCCCTTTGTGTTATTTGCGATAGCTGCAACTGTTGTGATCGGAGATGTTTTGCGATATAGTTACTACATGCATTGATTCTTCCATGCCATATATCCCAGTATTGCACATCACTCTGTCAGGATATAATGCACCTCCAACAGACTGTATGTAATCTAAGCATGAGAACATGCTTACTTACTGAGTGCCTGAATCTAACAGGAGGTGTACATCCTTAAATCATAGCAGTACGTCTATAAGAGCCCAAATTTAAACATAAAACCAATCAAGCTCATTACAGCTTGAAATGAGTTACTTGTTCTGTTGTCCCACACAGGCTAAATTGCCAGCTAAATATAACACTTTCAGTAAGCTCCAATAACATGTCTTAGGCTCTTTTAGACACGTCTATTACACCCGCGCGGCGTAGCGCGCGAGACCTTTCTGGTAAGAATGTAAGCACCGTAAGGATCGGATCTGCAACTAGGCAGACGGGAACATATTGATCGCCAATCTATCGGTGGAGCATGCACGTATACAACACATGAATGAATAGGAGCAACCAAAAATCAGCGCCCAAATTAAACTAAAATGCACTTAACTAAAGACGTCAGCTTTAGCCTATAGCAGCGAGCATATAACTGTAATTACTACTCCCTCCGTCGTATTTTAATGTATAACGCCGTTAACTTTTTAACCAATGTTTGACCATTCGTTTTATTTAAAATTTTTGTGCAAATATGAAAATATTTATATCATACTTAAAGAACATTTGATGATGAATCAAGTCACAATAAAATAAATGATAATTACGTAAAGTTTTTAAATAAGACGAATGGTCAAACGTTGGATAAAAAGTCAACGGCGTCATACATTAAAATATGGATGTAGTAATTAACTAAATTGCAATTAACAAAAACACTGCGATTTAAGAGCGTGCACGGCCGGGCAGATTCCATAACTTGCAGTTTTGATCAACAGTGCGCAATGCAAACAAATCAAATCAGAGCTAGCGAAACATTAAACGAACCTATCCAGGCAATCAGATCATTATCGATCGAACGAAAACGAATATAATGCGCTAATTCACAAAATAAAACACCAACCAACTAACTAGTTGTGCAAGCGGCAAGTCGGTCGATCATGGATGCATTGATTATAATATATTGAATTAATAGCAACGCGAGCAAAACACACTAAAACAACCGAACTAGCATCAACGCGAGAGAAAATAACAAGGCAGGCAGGCATGGCAGTAGGCGATCGATCGAAGCGAGTCGGCGAGAAATCAAATATCTAAACAAGCAGGCGATCGATCCATGCGCGCTAGGGCTTGAAGCAAGTAGCAAAGAACGTACGGGAGGGATTCGTGCGTGCATACCGCGGATACCCGTGGGTGGCCATATCACCACGGCCTCGCCTCCCTGCTATTGAGCAATGCAGGAACAACTAATAATGCTTCATCTAGTGTGTATATATATGTAGCCAACCGATTTATACGGATTTCTTAGTTTGGTTTTTACAGTTTTTTTAAAGATATCGGTTTTTTTAAGAGATCGGTTTCTGCAATCAACCGATCTCATCAGGAAAAAGTAAAAAAAAATGAGGACAGCTAGGGGACGGAATACCGTTCTGACAGTATAGTTTATGATCTTGATCGCGCACGACATTCTGCTCCCCCGCTTCTCGGAAGGGACGCGGCGGTAGTGCTCATCTAATCAAGTCTCCTATCTGGATTAGTTTGGTTGCACTGTGAGGAAGCGGGACTGGTTGGCCTAGGTGGGACTCAGCTGGGCTGATAGTAAGAAAAGAGTTTTCTTATTAGTCTACACACTCTGATGTGGACTAATAATAGTCTAGTATCTCGTTAGGCCATAGTCTACACATTCTGATGTGGACTAATAATAGTCTAGTATCTCGTTAGGCCATATGCTGATGAGATTGGGACAATTGATACATATATTCACAATAAATATTTTTTGTTGGGTCGTGTGCTAATTAGGTTGGACCAATAAAGATACACACATCTACAACTGGTTATTGGGCTGATTTGGTTTAAGGCCATACCAAAATGTTGGGCAAGTTTTGGCACTACCGAATTTGATAGAGTAGATTTATTACTAGCTAGGCAAAAATTGGTCACAATCCAAATGCTATCAAAGTACTATTTGGAGCTACCAAAATATTGGCATGGCACAAATTGGCACCAATCCAAACATGTCCATCATAAAGTATGGAGAAATCATGTACTTATCATCCATGAAACCCCATGATACTTGGTACTACATAGTACCTTATATGTCATGAACCTCCAAGGTAACAGACCTGGTACTCCATATGTATCATATATGGTATCTAGGTATCAGACTTATACTTAGAGCCAGTATCTAGGTATCAGATTTTGTAGGTATCGTGGGTATCATATATGATATCTGGGTACCAGATTTGATAATTAGACTTGGTACCTAGGTACTAGATTTTGTAAATACTATGGGTAACATATATGGTACCTGGGTATAATACTTTATACCTAGGGTATCATATATGGTACTTGGGTATCATACTTGATACTTAGACATGATACCTAGGTATCAGATTTTATAGATACTGTGGGTATCATATACCTGGGTATGATACTTGATACCGAAGGTATCATATATGGTACTTGGGTATCATACTTAATACTTAGACTTGATACCTAGGGTATCATATATGGTACCTGGGTATCATACTTGATACTTAGACATGATAACTAGGTATCAGGTTTTATATACTGTGGGTATCATATACCTGGGTATGATATTTGATACCTAAGGTATCATATATGGTATCTGGGTATCATACTTGATACTTAAACTTGATACCTAGGTATCAGATTTTATAGATACTGTGGGTATCATATATACCTTGGTATCAGACATAATACCTATAATATATATCAGATATGGTACTTAAAACAAGATAATTAAGAAAAAGATGAACATAAATCTAGATAATTGGCCACGGCTCTTTCCTATAGGCCCAGCTAGTATGTGAGCACCTCTTGCGCGTGTCCTACAACTAATGGAAGAAGAAGTCAGGTCCACACTCAGTAGGACAGTGCGACAAAAGCCCAACAAGCTAGTTCATCACGTGGGGAGCCTATCGACATCTTGCATATGAGGCAGGCATCAGCGACATAATGATTCGCTCTTATTAATCGTCCCGTAACAACGGGATACCGTTTTGTAGCTTTTCTCAAAAAAAAAAGATCTATACTTGGGTTCAGTGTCGGTTTGTACCGAAGATACCGACCAGGCGCTCTACAAACAAAAAAAAAAGGCAGAGGACGTACGTGCTGATGCTGTATTGTTGCTGTTGGGCCATCAGATCCCTCAAGCTCCACACAATGGGCCTTTGGGCCTGCGATCATCCGACTGGGCTAGCGTTGCCTAGTTGTAGTGCAGCACTACTACTAGTGCTCGCTCCAGTCGGCTGTGAACGATGTCTTCGGTTTTATCGGGAGCTCGGTTCACGCCAACAAAAACCGATCTGTAAACCGTAAACCGATGCATCTCAAAATAAAAACCGCAAAACCCGCTAGTTCGGCTCAGCTTGGTGCGGCTCGGTTCGGTCTTGGTCTTGGGTGTATAAAACCCACAAAACCTGCAAAACCCATGGAGGCCCTTCGTCACCTAATGGGCCGGCCCGGGAAGACCACCTCAGGGCCCATGAATGCAAAAGACATTGTATACCCACTATAATGTCTCTATCATAAGAGTAACAATGTAAATTTCCCTGTAATAAGCAAACCCTAGAGGGTATGGGCCTGTACTAGGATTATAAATAGACTCCTAAGGGCGCCATGTAATGAGGAGATTCCAAAATTTTTAACCGATTAATATATTGCTTTACCATTCCAATTATTCTCTGAGTTAGCACGTCCTTCGACATAAAGCAGTTGTCATTCGACAACAATGTGGGTTAATTGTCTCAAAATTCCTTTTAATTAATCAATTTTATATATGGAATGTATGCATGTATGGTGTTGATTAAATAAGGTTATCATAGTCATTTGTCTGTCCTCCTAATTTGTTTTAAATTAGCTAGAATTTTAAATTTTATGGGACAGTGAGTTTTATAGGCCTAAGCCCAACGTGCATATGGAACGGAGATTTGGGCCCAAAGCCCATCAAGAAAAATACTACTATCTGACAAAAAAGGAAATAAGTTCACCGGTCTCTCAACTTAACAGCGAGATTTTTAAGGTCCTTTAACCACAAAACCAGAAATGTATACCCCTAAACTCACACAAACCGTGTATAAAAGGTCCCAAGGCAGTATATATGGGTGGTTTCACTGACGTAACATGTCAGAAAAAAAAATTAAAAAAAGTACATAGGCGCACATGCCAGCTGCACATATTTTTTCTTCTCTTTTCTTCTCCTCTCCTCTTTTCTCTCTTCTCTCCTCTTCTTCAGGCCAGCGGCGGGCGGAGAGCCGGAGAGACGATGGGCACGCGCGGATGCGAGCAGCGGGCGGAGCGGACGGCGGGCGAGCGCGGCGGCAGAGCAGCGAAGCGGCACTGGGCGGGGGTGCCTGGGGCGGCGGAGTCGAGGGCGGAGTCGTCGGAGTCGATGTGGGAGGGCGTGGGAGATGTCGATGTGGACGAGGAAGAGGAGGGAGAGCAGGAGGACGAAGGTGGCGGCGATGCGGGCGAAGAGCGGCCGGTGGGCGCGCAGGATGGACGCCGCCTCCCTGTAGATCCCCACCACGCCCAGGAACTGCAGCTCCTCCGGCTCGCACTCCATTGGACTCCTTCGATTGAGGATTGGATTTGACTTGGATTCCTCGTCCGCTACGTTGTCGGTAGCTTATTAATTTGGTAGGTAGCTAACGAAACGAGATGAGATGAGCTTGAGATGGGATTGGGGATTGGGGAATTTTGGAGAAGTAGTCGTAAGTAAGCAATTGGTTGGGGAAGCGAGGTCTCGGACATGGCGGCGTCGGTCGAGTGCGCGGTCTGCCTCAGCGTCGTCGACGAGGGGGAGAAGGTGAGGCAGCTCCCGGCGTGCGGGCATGTTTTCCACCAGGAGTGCATCAACATGTGGCTCTCGTCCCACGCCTCATGCCCGGTCTGCCACGGGAAGGCCGCGCCAGCCGACGAGCTTGCCGACGCCATAGCCGTGTGCATATCGGTGAAGCGCGACGTCGTCGTGCCAGCCTCCTCGCCGCCGCCGAGCTCGCCCGCCGGCTCTCCGCCCGCAGCTCGCATCCGTGCATGCCCATCGTCTCTCCGCCCGCCGCTGGCCTGAAGAAGAGAAGCGAGAAGAGAGAAGAGAGGAGAAGAAAAGAGAAAAGAAATATATGTGCAGCTGACATGTGGGCCCATGTACTTTTTTAAAAAAATTTTGCTGACTAAGATGCCACGTCAGCGAAACCACCCATATATACTGCTTTGGGACCTTTTTATGCACGGATTGTGTGAGTTTAGGGGTATACATTTCTGGTTTTGTAGTTAAGAGACCTCAAAAAATCTCGTTGTTAAGTTGAGGGACCTCCGGTGAACTTATTCCTGACAAAAAATGAGGCCCTATTAACTCCTAGCTGCAGGCCACTAGCTTTCTTTTTACCTCCTAGCCTGTGCCAATTAATTAACCAGCTGATCACTTCCTCTTCCTAATTACTTTCTCTATCCACAAAAGTTATACCTATTACTTTTGTCACCAAGATCATGAAGAAATTAAATCATCTTAGATGTTACAAAATCAAGAAGTGAATGTAAGCATGCAACCAATGAGTATTTAGAACAGGTACAATAGCAGGCTATAAGCTAGCTATAAATATATTTTAAAGAGATAAAAGAAAAGAGAGAAGAGCAGCGGTCTACAGATCTATAGCCAGCTACAGCACGGATTCTAAGATGTAATATGTGTATGACATGTGGGACCAGGTATTAATAATGCAGTAAGCAACTATTGTATGAATTAGCTATTACATTGGCTATAGATGATTTGGAGCTAGTAGTTGGCTATACTATTAAACTTACTCTTAGATGACTCCTTTGGGTTCTAATCAAATATTTAATTTATCTCTTCATTTATAAATTTTAAATGCATTAAAAAATATAAATAGAAACAACTTATTTGGAAAAAGTTAAATGTGAAATATATTGTATCTAACTTTTGTGGATGGAGGGAGACAGGGAGTATATGAGTACACCATTTTAATTTACATACAAGGCGTATCGTTTTAAGATGCAAATTTATTCGAGTGGCGCTGGTTTGCTACTCCACCTAGTACAAATATAATGTACGGATGGCAGCCAAAGTTGACTAGTACTCCAAACTGCTCCAGCTCATAGAAAATGTCAACTATAATTAACTTGGAATTGGATTTATCTAGCCGATAGATGATCCCGGTTCAACGCCGTAGCACGTTCGTACGTACGGTATGAATGATGATGGATCAACACATGAAAAGTCAATATACTTGCATGATGTCAGCATCTAGCTCAACAAGAAAGCAACATATATATATATATATATATGCCATGTACTCTTACCCTTTCTCTTTCAACAAACTGCATGTACGTCTTCTTGCATAAATCAGCCAACTAATTAAGTTCTGGAGTATACATACATACATACATACATACATACATACATACATACATACATACATACATACATATATACATACATATATATATATATATATATATATATATATATATATATATATATATATATATATATATATATATATACACTACTTAAGACGTTTCCGTCGTCCATCTAAAAAAAATAGCGAAATAAAACGTAAAAAAAAAGAGAGATAGTCCGATTCAATCAATGACGCGGAGAACAAAAAAAAAAATCCGTTCGTCCCTCACCCACATCACGCACACCCCTCTCCAAATCCCAAACCATCACAATCCAAACCAAAAACAAAATCCCAATCCAAATCGGAATCATCACAAAATCTAATATAAATATTTGGATTTTTCCGGTCGTCACACCGGTTTTTCGTCCCGCTTCATCGCCCCCCTCCCCCAAAATCCCAATCCGAATCCAATCAAAACCCAGAAAAAAATCACAATCACAATCGGAGTTCAATCGCACAAATCATGATGCATGTACACACATATATCCAAATAAAAACAAAAAATTAGATCGAAGGGGGTCGCCGCCGCCGCCGCTGTCGCCGTCGCCGTCGTTGCCGAACCGCCGCCGTCGCCGTCGCTGTGGATCCGGTGGAGGGGAGAGCGCCGCCGCCGCCACCTCTCCTCCCGCTAGATCCGCCGGCGGCGGCAGCGGAGGGCACTCTCCGGTGGTGGGGGAGAGCGCCACCGCCACCGTCGGTGGTGGGGGAGGACTCCACCGCCGCCGCCGCTCGCGGGAGGAGGGGCGCCGTCGCCGCCGCTCGCGGGGCGCCTCCCCACCCGCTAGATCCGCCGCCGGTGGTGGGGGAGGGTGCTGCCGCCGCCGCTCGCGAGAGGAGGGGCGCCGTCGCCGTCGCCGCCGCTCGCGGGGCGCCTCCCCTCCCGCTAGATCCGCCGCCGGTGGTGGGGGAGGATGCCGCCGACGCCGCCTTGGGTGGTGGGGGTGCCGCCGCCGCCGCCATCGGTGGTGGGGGAGGGGCGCCGTCGTCGCCGCCGCCGCTCGAGGGCGCGGAGGAGAGGGCGGCGAAGTGAGATGGGAGGGAGGGAAATGGGCTAGGGTTCCGCGGCTGAGAGGGAGTGGGTTTTGTTTCCCCACTATCGACGCTCGGCCGTCCGATCAAAACCCTAGAGATCGGATGGCCGGTGTCGTCCGGGCCGAAATCGGCCCAAGAGGGATCGAGAGTGAGGCCTCTTTTCCGGCCCAAGCCCAGGTTGCGGCCTGGGGGAGGAAAAGTGCGCCCGCGCATACGCAAGAGGCCGTGGGCCGACCGGCATGGGTCGGAAATAAGTCTATTTTTGGTCCCTCGAGCCGAAAAAAAGAGAATAAGTACATTTTTAGTGCTCATTTTTTCAGAAGCATTACAATTATAGTTATATTGAATATGTTTATTTCGAAGCAAACCTATAAGAAAGTATTTTCTTTCTTTTTCCAATTAAATAATTGTTAAATGATGTTTATATTAATAAAATTAGTAATTAAGCTCGGAAAATTCCAATAAAATTCCAAAGAGCGTAACTAATTATGGAGAATTTAATAAAATTAAATTTAACCATGTCATTTTATTTAACCATGGAGAATGGAGAATTTTACTTGTAAATTTATTTAATTATACACATACCTACTTAAAAATACCAAATATTTCAGCGAGTTTGTATTTTAATTAATTGCATATTTTTCTGATCTGTAAACTTCCCGGTGCAACGCACGGGCACTTTTGCTAAACCATACAACACTTTTGGTCAATATACACACTCTGTAATCACCCGGTGCAACGCACGGGCACTTTTGCTATATATATATATATATATATATGTGTGTGTGTGTATATATATATATATGTATGTATATATATGTGCGCGCGCGCGCGCGCCGCTTCAAACTGGCGACTCATTCCGGCCAACATGCAGCTAATTATGGCATAATTACCTTGTACTGTACATATATACGTACATTGGTTCGTACGGCCGGATGAACACATGCACCGGCAATTAGTAGTAATTATTTAAGTCCAGCTTGCTTGATTAACAATGACGTTATTAGTTTACTGGGGGAGGCATCATGTTGCACGGAACAGTACTGTATTGGAGTGGCTACGATCTGTGTGCGCGTGGTACGCCACTAATTAATCAATCAATCGTCATTTACTAAGGTAGCATCAACTGGAGGAGTAGTATATATGAAAGCAACTGCAACAATCATGTCCCAGTTGGAGTTACCCCTAGTTGCACATTTCCTCAATAATTTGGTCAGGAACCTTGTGTCCCTATATAGTATTACGAACAGATATATAGTTATATTTCCATATAAATATATTGATATCATATATTTATTGTTGGCCCACGTCTTTTAATAAATTTTGATAAAGTTCTCAACTTACCTTCTTCCTTTTTTCTCGTGCATGTTTTTCAAAATATTAAACGGTGTATTTTTTTTAAAAAAAATCTATACAGAAGCTGCTTCAAAAAATCATATTGATTTATTTTTTTTTCAAAAAAAGCTAATATTTAATTAATCATACACAAATGAGTCATCTCATTTACGTGCGTGAGGGATTAGCTCCTAACCCCAAACAACTAACACAGCCTTAACTTTGGTAGGATCAAAACAAATACAGGTTAGAGTACGGTGTAGAAGAAGCCTTCCCAAGAAGAGAACGGTCAAGGAGGAATTTTTACTGGAAATGCGAGCAGATAAGGATAAGCAATCAGCTGGTGCCTACTCCTCCTGTACCTGAAACACCTTTTCTTTCAAGATTTTGGGTGTACATAGTGGAGTCTGGAGTGGTGGTTTAGAACGAGTGCTTATCAGGACAGGTATGTACTGAGGAGAGGATCTAGTTCATGTTCCAGTACCAAACGGAACGGAACAGAACTGAATTCTGTCCTTTCTAGGTACGGCATGCCACTCAGACCGACCGACCTAACCTGCATTTTATTATTCAGTTTTTTTTTCCATCTCTCCACATGCATGAACGGCTGGCCAGATATATGCTTTCACCTTTTGCTAATTGCTACTGCTTTTCGGTAGCCTTTTGGCTTCAATTGCTCGTGCCACGTCATCACTGCATTCATAATTTCATATGCTTCTCTGTTTCCAAACACAAGCATTTTTAGGCATAAATTTTGTGTGCAATATAAACATTTTTGATACACTGATTCTAACAAATCTAAATATTTTCGTTCAATCAGACGCTTAGAAGGAATCCAAGCAATTCAAAATCTAAAAGTTCATCAATAAGGTATCAAAAGCAGAGAATATTTCTCTTTAATCTTATGCCCTTTTTTATTTAGGTTTATAAGCTAGTTAATGAGTCGCAAAGTCTAAACTTTAACAAACAAGCATACTTTTCGTTTGTTTTTTAAAGTCATAAGTCACTCTTACACTATTAAGCCAAAAACTAGGTTAGAAAAACTTTTTTTTAGCTTATGTGAGTTAGAGTTATGACTCCACTTTTGAACTTATGATTTTAAATCTACTGGCTTATAAATCATATGAGCCAAAAAAAACTGACTTAAAATCTTAAGCCATTAAATCTAAGTCTTAAAAAAAGACCCTTAATATTTGATTAAATAGCCTATAAATGGAGCACTACTCCAGAGAAATGAGCTAAAATGGATGGTTGGTTTTAGGTATGAGCATACATACCAAGA